ATGTACTCTGAAACCTGGACGTTCTTAAACGTGTATGCCCCAAATTATGATGATCACTCCTTTATTCAAGAATTGTTTCTTAAAGTGCCTGAATGCTCTGGAAACATACTGATAGGAGGAGACTTTAACTTTTGCCTCGACCCAGTACTAGATAGGTCCTCAACCACTGCAGTGACAAGGACTAAAGCAACCAAAACCACAATGACCTTTATGAAAGACCTAAACCTTTGTGACGTCTGGAGACACCTCCACCCCACAACTAGGGACTACTCCTTCTATTCATGTCCACATAATTCCCATACAAGGATCGATTTTTTTCTTACATTTAACTGTTTAACTCATAGAGTCTTGGAATCAGAGTACTTACCTAGGATCCTCTCAGACCACTCCCCACTGACGCTTTCATTGCTAATACCGGAAAAAGTGCAGGGACCATACAGATGGCAACTGAACCAGACTCTGCTCAAGAAACCTGAGTTTTGTCAATTTATGAGGGACCAAATTAAGATTTTTTCTGAAACTAACTATCCCTCATCCCCCAATAGCTTTGTATTGTGGGACACAATGAAAGCCTACTTAAGAGGGCAGATAATTTCTTAAACCAATGGCCTAAAGAAAAAACACATAGCTGAAATTAATAAGCTGGAAAAAGAGATCTTACATTTGGCATCAAATGTCATGCTCCAGAGACACATATCGAACACTAGTAAGCAAAAAGCTAAAATATAACATGTTGAACACTTACAGAATAGAACGAAATATCCTTAGAACCAAACAGAGATATTATGAGTTGGGGGAAAAGGCACAGAAAGTTCTGGCTTGGCAGCTGAAGAAAGAGGAGACTTCGAGAGCTATCAATTCCATAGAAACCGAAAATGGGAATGTGACAGGAAACCCTAAAGAAATTAATGATTGTTTTAAACACTACTACACTTCATTATACACATCTGAATCCCCAGATGATCTAAGCCTGATCGATTAATTTCTATCAAAAGTCAAGCTACCGAGATTAACGGAGGAGGACCAGGAGGAAATAAGTTGTCCCCTCACTCAAAAAGAAATCGAAAAGGCCATTTCCTCATTGAATTCTAATAAATCACCTGGTGAAGATGGTTTCCCACCTGAATTTTATAAGGAGTTTAAAGACCTGCTTCTCCCTCTTTTTATTGATGTTGTGAAATTGGCATCTGAAACTCAAACCCTGCCGAATCCTTCTCAGTAGCCCTAGTAACAGTTATCTATAAGAAAAACAAAAATCCCCAAAAATGCTCCTCCTACAGGCCGATTAGCCTTCTTAATACAGACTTTAAGATTATTTCTAAAGCCCTGACCAATAGATTAAACAGGCTCTTCCCCAAACTGATCAATAAAGACCAAACAGGTTTCATAAACAAACGACTCTCATCCGACAACCTCCGCAGATTCTTTAACATTATTCATGTGGCAAACACCAGAAATGAACCAACTGTTGCACTATCATTAGATGCGGAAAAGGCCTTTGACCGCCTTAAATGGCCATATCTTCTTGGGGTCTTGGACAGTTTCGGGTTCGGCGCGTCTTTCATTAATTGGGTTAAAACCCTATACCACAAACCACAGGCAAAGGTAGTCACAAATGGAATAACTTCAACTCCCATTACACTACAAAGAAGCAGCAGACAGGGTTGTCCACTCTCCGCTGGACTATTTGTCCTGGCACTAGAGCCTCTGGCACAAGCAGTGAGACAGGATCCAGACATAAAAGGTGTCCAGGTTGGTCAAATAAACCACAAAATCAGTCTATTTGCTGATTGTAGTGGCCCACTTGGAATTACCACACAAGATGCAGAGAGCTTCGACTGGTGTTCGACTTTTATTCTCTCCTCCTTTCACCACTGGCATTTTAACACCTTCTGACACCGTGAAAACTATGAAAGTGGACAGAAATACAAATGTCATGGTACCAGATTTCCGTAAATAATACGTAGAAATCATGTTCACATTTTTAACTTAAACGATACATTTTTTACATGAATTTACCATTTTTAAACTGTTATGAGTTGCAGCTCTTATTAAATAAAATAATGACAGTTTCTCTCAGTTTTTAAATAAAATAAACCACTCTTTTTATAATGAATACACCGTTCCTTCTGCTTCCAAGGGCGCTAAGTTTGAGCTCAGCCTGCTAGCAGCCCGTCTTTCTCACACCTCGCAGTAATAGTCCTTACATGAGAAATACCATGACACAAAAAACACGGAATGAACCACAATAAATGACCGTTCATAAGTGTCAACACAAGATACCACATGTTAATAATTTGTTTGCATGTTTTACCAGTTCTGTAGCATCGTGAGCACGTTGTTTTTACTGAGACAGGAGCAGGAAGTCTAGTGTCTTTGATAACAGAAAGTTACAAAATGAGAGTGGTGCTTTTCAAAATAAAAGTACAAAAAGTAAAGTAGCATAACTTACAGACGAAATTAACTGCCATTTACACTGATGACATAATTTTGTTTCTCACTGACCCAACCCAATCTCTAAAAAAGCTACAAGCTCTTCTGAACAGTTATAGTACAATATCCGGCTACAAGTTCAACTATGAAAAAAGCGAGATACTCCCTCTGACTAAAGCTGACTGGAGTGAATTAAGCCAAACAAATTCCTTTAAATGGGCCCCAAAAGGGTTCACATACTTGGTCATCCGGGTGGATAGCGACTTGAAAAATCTGTTTAAACTTAACTACCCTGCACTGATCCAAAAAATACGAAGTGACCTCAGTAGGTGGACAGACCTACCCCTAACCTTGTTTGGCAGAATCAACTGCATAAAGATGAACGTTTTGCCCAAGATAATGTACTTATTTCAGTCGCTCCCTATCCCTCTCCCCAATAGCATCTTTAAAACACTTAATAAAAGCATAAGTACATTTATCTGGAACCATAAAGTACCTAGAGTGAGTTTGGAGAAATTATCATGGGATTATGGGATGGGTGGCCTCCGACTCCCCAATTTCAAATTTTACTATTGGGCAGCACAGATGAGATTTCTCCTACCCTTGTTTGAACGGGACTCTGCCCCCTCTTGGACACAAATTGAACTACATGACTTTGAAGAAGCGATGAGAAGCCACTTTGTTTATAAATGGAACCCAAAAAGTATCATTTGTAAAACTAAAAACCCACTTACCATTCACTTGGTTAGATCATGGTTTGAGGTTCATAAAATTATTGGAGTGAAGATTGACTTGTCGCCCAAAACACCTCTGTGGGAAAACAAACTCATACCAATGTTCTCTGATAACAAAATCTTTAAGCTATGGCACGACAAGGGGATAGTATACTTTGAACAATGCTACAATAATAAAACCTTAATGTCCTTTGAACAGCTAAAAGCAAAATATGACTTATCCAACAAACACTTTTTCTGTCATTTACAACTGAGAACATTCCTGAAAAAAAGGTTGGGGGAACAAATGATACTGCCTAACCTGACAAAAGTGGAGGAAATATTTTACAATAATGAAGGTCCAAAGCAATTCATTAGCAGGATGTATGTAACCATGCGGGAGAAATGTCCAAAACAAAACATACATCGATCAAGAGAGAGGTGGGAAGCTGACCTGGGTATAATACATGAGGACATATGGTCTAACTTATGTCAGAAAAGCTTATTTGCTACCGTGAATGCCAGATATAAACTTGTCAACTACAACTTTCTTGATCAACTTTATCTAACCCCCCAAAAATTACACCAGTACAAACCTACAATTTCAGATCTCTGTTTTAGATGTGGTACTGCTGTAGGAACCATGTTACATTGCTCATGGCAATGTACGAAAGTTACTTCATTCTGGCATCATATATGTGACACACTGACGCAAATCATGCATATACCAATTCCATTAGATCCAGGGCTATGTCTTCTAGGAAATTTAACAAACATGAAACTGAGTCAGAGTTCAAGGAAATTTATTGACGTAGCTCTCGCTGTTTCCAGAAAATGTATTGTGTTAACCTGGAAGTCGGATTCCATCCTCTCTATATCAAAATGGATTTCAGACATGATGATTTGTTTTCCGTTAGAGAAGATCACTTATGTCATGAGGAACAAATATGATGACTTTTTAAAGGTCTGGCAGCCTTTCATTGAATATATAGAGACATTACCAATACCAGCTGTGGACTCATTGTAAACCTTGAACTGGTTTGACTGTAAACCAACACTAATGCCCAGGTACAATGGTTGAGAGATCTTGGTGACAATGTGTCACAATGTAACATATGTATCTTTTTTTCTTCTTTTAAGTTATATTTTTCTTCTTTTAAGTTATAATTATTATTTTTGTTTGTTTACTTATTTATTTTATTAATTTGTTTGTCTCCATTATTTATTTATCATGTCTTTTAGTTACTGTTGTTATTATTTGCCTCATTACATATTGAGTTTTTAGTGGGAATGAGTTGTATTGTTCTTGCATAATTGAAAACTGCAAAATAAAGTATTCCAAAAAAGAGTTGTTTGTGGACAAATTTCAGCCCAGTGTTCACACCCTTCCAGTTACCTGGTTGTTTTGCTGATGAACGCAGCACAGTGTTCTACAGCTGAGTAAAACTGTGAAACCAAAACCACCACCTGAATGATTCCAAAGGCTTCATGGAGCTAAAGGGACCTGCTGATGGGTTCTATGGATTATATGGGTTAATCATTATAAGCAGCCTATTCACATTTGATCTGTTGTTTATTTGTTGTCCATTGTTTATATGTTTATTTATATACTGTAGCTCAAAGTGACTCTGTAGTGGACAGTGACTTTCTCTTTGTCTGTTGTTTATGTTATTTTGTCTGTTTTAACGTCAGTTTATATGATTGTTTTATTGAAATCATGTGATGAGCTCACCAAGGCAAGTTCTCCTTCTGTCTCACATCAATCAATCCTCCACTCAGTTTTATGGGATTTTCCTTTCATTTTCAACCCTCTGTATTTTGTATTGTATGTTGAAACCTCGTGTCTTCCTGCAGCTCTGAAGACAGTGCTGGAAGTGCCGTTGGGAAGCCGCTTTCTCAGACTCAATGCCAAAGGACCTGATGTGATAGGTGAGCACAGAGAATCTTATTCTGTTATATGTTTATCAGAGTCTGTGCTTGTCAGACTTGAGCACTTTTTGATTCACAGTATTCAGACACTGATATACCTGTGCGTACATTTAGATACATGAATAAGAAAACCTCAGGTCAGATAATACTATTAAAAAGAGAGCTGCAAGAATGCGCTTCCGAAGTAAGATGTAGTTTATTTTCCTCTGTTGGTCTTTGGATTGAATGTAGAGAATGATTGTTACTGTCTGATGAATCAGGGTGTTTGTTTTTATGGAGGTGTGTCTTTATGTATTTGTGATATATGGTTATCGTTTTGTGTCAAATTTTACAAAAATAGTGAAGACGAAAGAGGGAGATTCATAATTATTTTGGAAGATAGCAATTATCTCACAGTGGGTAAATGGTTTTGATGCTGGCATTTTAATACTAGATAACAGACTGAGAAATATGGGAATAAAATGCAAATTGTGTGATGAAGATGCTCTCACACACATATTTGTGTACATCAGGACAGAGAGTGTGGACTTGTTCTCTCCATTGAAAAATATGTTGCATCCATCATAAATTTCACAGATCTTACTGCTGAGTTTGCTGCCAAGTAAGTGACTTTCATGTAATTCATTCCATTTAGCCTACAGTGAGTCCATCTCATTTGAGCTCCAACAGAATTTCTTATAGTGCTGCCAGCATGACGGTCAGAAAAGTTTCTAAAAGTCATTTCTTTGGTTTATGAAAGTGTTGAAATGAAATTATTCAGTGAATCTCAGCTACAGCTGTAAGGATCTGCTGGAGACTGGCAGAGTGAGACTGATGGACAATGTACAGCAACATCAGTGATCAATAAACAGCACATCAGCGCTGGCCACATCAGTCATGCAAATTTTGACTTTTGAGATCAATTCTATATCTATTTTAAAAAAGTTTCCCATTCTGCCAGAGCTCTGGCTGTAGCTCAGCTGGTAGAGCGGAGCAGCCATGATTTGATCAGGTGGTAGAGATCTGGCCAAAGGTTTGGACCCAGCCCCAAACTGAAACCTACCCAAACCCCATGTGCATAAATAGATTTTTAAAACAGAGACACCACATTCACATAGACCTGCATTGATGTACATATGTGTATGGGAAAAATAAGTCACCTTGAACAGAATGAATGTAAAGTCATATTAAACTCCGGTGCAGTTTGTTTGTCGTGTGAAGTCAAAGTGTACCAACTGCAGGACTGTGTGGTAGCAGAAACGCGACTTTTAGCTTGAATTCAAAAGCTTAACTATTATTAAATCAACATGTCAATTGGAAATGTTATGTTATGTCAGGATGTCTCATCCTGTTTCACTATTGCCAAGTGCTTCCTCTTTGAAGGAACTGTTGGGTTTCTCTCTTTAATAAAGTAAGGTCTCGATCTTACCCTGTAATGTGCCATGAGGTAATGTATATTATGATTTGGCGCTATACAAATAAATTGAATTGAACTGAATTATACAAGGTCAAACTGCAGTCTTAACCTATAATGTTCTTTATCATCTACTTCTCTGAGAGCCCTTCTTACCACCAAAGTGAAATAGATTCCTGTACAATGTCATGTGGATGAGTTGTCTCTCAGTCTGTGTTTATTTCCCTTTGTACTGAGACAGTGTCAACATGAAATGAACCATAACTAAATGGCATCTATGTATATTTTTTACTTTGGCATTTGCCAAATGAACTGAACTACTGGTGTGACAGTAACCTTAGCGTATTGAGGAATTATAGTAATTCATTATGTGATATAGTCATGTAGATTATGGATTGGAATATGGGTTAAGGAAGAACATAAAACTTAGACTTAAAACCCTCCATATTCCTACAAACTGAACCCTGTATTTACAAGCTGAGAGCATTTTATTTGTTTGTCAGTTGGGTTTTCCTGACCTGTTTTATTGTCAGTTGAAAGGATTGCAATAGCCCACGATGAACCCAGATGAACCCAGCACATGTCCACAAGTAACCCTGCTAATATACTCAATTTGGAACTTGAGTATATTCGCAGGGTTACTTGATTATATTAGTACCCCAAAGAGCTGCAGGATTTATCTTTATTTGAGTGTTTACATCTGATCACTGCAGTATAGCAGTTTTAGCCCCATTTAGAAATAGTCTGTCATTTTCGGGGATCAAAGGTAATTTGACAAATTAAGACTAACTTTAATAGTCAAGGTGTTTACTATTTAGTCTAAAATCCTTGATTGGATGAAGTTTATGACATAATGTAAATCAGCTGACACTTGCTATACTGGTGATGGAACCTATGTCTGGTTTTCAGCATGTGAAACACCTTCTTAGCTGGACGGAGATCAAGTGCCTGAGTCTGTTGCTAAACAACATTGTACTGCTTGTCATAACAAACTCCTGGGATGCTTTTTAGTTGTGCTGTTGCGAGCTTGCATAGAAGAAAACAATGGGAGGCAGAAATCTGAGTTTATATTATTATTAAGTCCTGTGCCCCAATAAACCACACAACTACTGCTGTTTATTAAGCACTGGAACAGAACACAACACAAACACTTTCTGAAGTTCCTTTCAGAAATGTGTTTCTTTCCACTGGACTCAGAGTGCTACTAAAGTACTCCATTGTTAGTCAGGTGGTGGAGTAGGTTGGCAACAGCGGCACAGTCCCGGACAAAGCAGTGACAGTATGATGCCAAGCCCAGGAAGCTTTGCAGCTCGCTGATGTTGTCAGAGGTTGGCCAGTCCCAGCCACAAAAGCTGGGTTGGTGGCTACATCACTAGCGCTGACCACATGACCCAGGAACCTTGTCACCCTTGTCAGTAGGAATCAGCTTTAGCCCAGCACAGAGGATTGGTTAGACAGAGCTCCATCTAAGTCATTAGTGTGCACCAGCAGGTCGTCAAGGTACACAATGACTCTGGGTTACGTTCGCCAGCACATCAGCTGCTCGAACATAGTTGGTGCTTTGCAGAGCCTGAATGGTATGATACAGAACTGCCACAACCCCTGTCTAATGGTGGAGGCGGTCTTGGGTCTTGCATCAGAGGCCAGCTCCACCTGACAGTTGCTGCTGTGCAGGTCAAACCAACAGGACTCTGAAATCCAGTCGAGGACATCATTGATTCGAGGTAGCAGGTAAGAGTCCTTTTCAGTAAGGGCATTAAGGCATTGGTAGACCACACAGAACCACCACTTCTTCCTCCAACTGGACTGAAGCACCATGGTCTCTTTGCTTAGGGTGATGGTTGCTCTTGGCATGTTAACACAGGTTCCCTAGCGGGTCAGCAGGTCCAGGCCGATGATGCATGGGTCCCGAATGTTACATAGCCACAACTTGTGCCCAAGCTCATTGTCTCCAGCCTGGACTTGCATCAGCTTCTTCCCCCTCATGTCAGCCTTTTCTCTCGTGACCTTCATCAGCTGGGTGTTGGGCAGTGACCATGATTGGGATGATGCTAGATCACACCAGGGACCCAGCATTGTTGACCATTAAGCTGGCAGGTCAGAGCCAGTCCTTTGATATGACCTGCACGGCCAACCCAGTGTGCATTGGCCATGGAGGGGGGCTGGAGAGTAGAGTGCTAGTTCCCTCCCTGGACTACTCCACTGTTGCTTCCCTCCAAGTGAGTGGCTCTGACTTTTGGCAATGGTGCTGGGTAGTTGAAGGCTATGCAACCAGGCTTGACACATCGGTAACAGCAACTTACCAGCCAGGATGGATGTTGCCTGGATGATGAAGGCCATTACTGTGATGGATGGCTGCATGGAGAGCACCAAATGGGCCCATTCAGCTTCACGGAGAGCCTCACTGAGGGATTGAGGCATGGGGAGGCAAACATGCTGGTGCAGCTGTTCCAGTGTGAGCCCCTGCAGGAAAGCGTGCAGGGCCAGCTCCTCTTGGGCGGCTGCAGGGAACCGCAGGTAACCATGTTGGGCACATCTGTGGTGAAAGTGCCCATGCTCTCTACTTCTTGGTAGTGGCAGCTGGCTAGCTGCTTCTTGCTCTGGACAGCAAAGGGTCGCTGCAACTTGGACAAGACCTGGAGGTCCCGCTGCTCTGTTGGGATTTAGTCAAAGAGCACCTACAATGCTTTGAAGCACCTTGAATGGCCTCTGTGTATGATAATGTGCTAGGCAAGGAAAGGCAAATATATTTGCCTTTCCTTGCCTTTTCTCTCCAGGGCCAGGTGGCAAATTTACTGTGTGCAGATAAAGTTTCAATTACTACATTTGTTGGTGATAATTAAATGTAAATACACTAATTACATATCAAAGATCAACTTTATATCTATCTAAAAAAGTGTTCTTGGTGTTCATTCCCATGGCAACATTGGTGATGTTACATATTGCAGGATCCTGAGCCTTCTGCTTTCCAAAACTGTTAAAAAACACAATTTCTCAGAAATGAAATTGGAATGATTAAAACTAATGGCCTTCACATAAACCCAACATGTACAGTAGTTAAATTATCAAGGAGATGTTTTTCTTGCTGTGGGCATCTGATATTTCCATGGATGGATGAGGTACTAATGGAATCAATTGAAAATTCATTTGCATGAATATACTGATGCCAATAGGTATCACAGATTCAAGATACATCAAAATAAATTTCATTCCCAGGGTGGCCCTACTTTTAGAGAAATGGAAAAGGAGTAGAGCTGCTGCTCCTGCCCATTAAAACTAGTCAGTTGTGGTGGTATGGGCATCTGACAGGATACATCTCCTGGACTAGTGAGCCTGCTGCCACCAAAATACAGACTTCAAGAAGCGGCGTAAGAGGGATGAATTGGATAAACAAACATAGTGATATTTTGCTGCACATTTACAATATTTGCCAAACATTTCTTTTTATGTGGTTTTACAGTACTTTGTTCAAATGATTTCCCTCAGTAGTCCTGAACGCACTCTTGTCTTTCAGGTTTACCTGGACTTTATACCTATTTGTGAAATGAACAGCTGGCAGTGCTGTATTCTTGGAACTATAAAATCCTGAGGAGCAACGATGTGGCTGCCAACATATTTGTTCTGTTTTTCATATGACTTTATATGTGAAGTTAAAATATGGAGTTAATATTGAAAGTTAGTGTACATTGAAAAATGTCCTTCTTGCTCTGTCTCTCCCTCAGCCATCGAAGCCATCTCTCTTCAGGGAAGGAAGGAGGAGATGAGTCTGGTGGCTACAGGCTCCTATGTAATAGGAAACACCTCCCTGGACTTTCAAAGGGGGACAGACAGGCAGACACTCAGGACACATGGCCCACTCAACGCTGATTACATTATCAAGGTGAAACAAGATAACAAGCCTAGGATTATAGCATAAAAGCCTTAGGAGTTTTGGCTTCTGATACATATTTTATTATAGATACAAGAGATACTTAATAGATAAATCAAGCTGTTGCATAATATTTATCAATGCAGATGGTTTTTAATGAGATTGTGAGGTTGATGCAAGCTGCACTGTAAGTGTTACTGCTGGAGAGGCCTGCTAAATCTAAATAGAAATAAATCTTTAAATCCTAGTGGTGTTGTTTCTCTGTATGTTGTAGTCGTAGCAAAGACAAACACTTAAGCTTAACAGAGCCTTGACACAGTCAGCCATCTTGCAAAGATAAAAGCATTTTGCAATGACTTCAGCATTGTGACTAATAATACTGTCACAGTTCTATATGTCACCACACTATTTCTAAGTCTGGGGATTCTCTAGATTTTATTCTTATCAACAAATCCCATGAGCAGTCCCAAACCAATAATGAATGGATCCTACTGTGTATATAAGCCTGACATATCATACTTATTCCTGTGTGCCATATAGGGCTCCTTTGTTGTCCAAACTGTTTAAAACACATTAATGAGCCACACTGTTGCACTGAGTGAAATGGTTGGTCATTACCATGAACACAAACTGTTCCTTGTTTTGAATCAGTCCCACAGACACAGTCCTGTTGCCAGAAATACTCACTAGAGCAGCAAAGCTACTGCTGAAAATAGTCCCCTACAAATGCTCTATTCTCTTTCGTTGGAGTTGTGACTACAGTATCCAGCTGTTTTTGGGGAATTACTGAGCCTTTTCGATAAATAGTTCAGTATTTTGGAATGTATGAATGATTATTTTCTTCTCAACTCTTTCTTGGTGAACAAAATGTCGGGTGCAGTGACTGTGTGTAGCTTCCTGGAGACTTGTGGCCACAGTTAGGTAGCCAGGTTTGGTGCCTTACCAAAATTTGTTCAATGGGCTTTGGGACATTTTTTATAGGAGGACAGTCTCTAAGACAAAACTAAAATAACACCAACCTCATCCTTTAACATGGAATCAATGTCATTGTGTTCTAACATTCGGCCTAACTAATACAGTTACTGTATTTTATTCCCATCTGACACTTTTTACTCTAAAAACAGAAGTGGCCTCTACAGTTTGTTATACTGTCAGCAAGTGTGTATTAGTGTTGACATTGGTAATTAGATGTAATTGATACAGTGTGAGGAGTGTTGTCTAAATCCTTGATTTCCTGCAGTGTGATCTGGTTTGTAGATCAAAAACATTTGTCCAGTTTATGTTGGACCCAAAGCACTGACTCCCAGTATCCAGAGTCTGTCTTTGACAGCTTCACGATTCTCTAGTGGTGATTATACATTGGGTATATGTGGGTACAACCGAGACAGATCATATATTGTCTGTGCACAACCTTTACAGCTGACAATCATGTAACAGCTGCCACCAGGATTTGGGACTTACTGATGTAACAGCAGTTTCTGGTTCTGTCTTGTGTGCTGGAGGGAAGAAATGTAAAGCTGTAAGTCTTGATGCTGCTGTAGTGTTGGACCAGAACTGTTATACTTATAACTTTTACTCTTTAGTTTCCTCTGATCAAAGTTATTGTTGCTCAGACACAAACACACAGTGTGTAACTTCTGCCTCTAGGGGTCTCTAAAACAAAAATAATAATAAAAGACAGCACCTGGTGACATTGTGAAATAGTGTGGCATCATGGGAGTTGTTGTCTTCACCACCATTACCATCAGTTTCTCCTGGTTTGGATTCCTTCAGTGTCAGTGGTTCAGGAGGTTTTGACCTGGAGCTGAATTATCAACAGAGGTGTCCTCCTCTTCACAACAAACAGACCAGGGGATTAAAACCAGTAAAACACTGAATAGAATTTCAGTTAAAAAGTTAAAGTTAAAAATCAGTGATTCACCGATGGTCTTTGGCAGACACAGGACAGGAAGTCTCCAGCAGCTGGGAGCTGAGCTGTCTAACATTTACTCAGCTTTTTTTCTCTGATGACTTAAGATCCAATATATAGTTGAAAACCACCAAGGTATAAAAAGTGTAAGTCAATTATGGGCTTCAGCCAGACAACCACAACACTGAAACATTCGCTGGGTTATGACACAGGCGACAAAATGACACATACTGTTACCATGATTAAAATCACAGATTTCTCTGGTTTGAGAATTGATGGAAACATTTGAGATAATGTAAGAACACAACTCAACAACACAGAACATTAGTGTAGTTGTTTTTAGACATTTTAATGTGGAAAAGTTACCTGTTTAATTTATGTAAGTACACTTGATTTGGTGGTAAACATGGCTGATGCATATCAGGCACATTCAGGAGCTCTAGTGGTTGATAAGCCTAAATCCTGCAGAGCTGTGAAGTTGTGGTGAATGACTTCTAGGTCAATTACATCATCAAAAGAAACCTGACTACCTGAGGCAGCTTCCTCCCCTATGAGGGAAGAAGCTCAAACTCTTTCATTTGCTATAAAACTTAGTTCTTTTTCTTTTTCTTAGTTCTTCTTTCAGGGTGATGTTGACCACAACTTAACATTGATTCTCAGGTCATTTCTGTCTTGTAACCTCTTGAGGTTTGTAATCACCACCAGAGAAGAGTGAACCTGTAGAAGACAGACTGAGCGGATAATGGGACTCAGCACTGGTTCCAACACAAACTTAAAAAATTCTTTCAAAATCCTGTCATCTTGATGAGGGACGTGCAGGAAATCCACAGCACGTGATTTTTCCAAATAATTAAATAGGCTCATAAAATGAATAATTACAATAAACAAAGACCTATGAGATTCAGTCCATCCTAAAGTAGGCCAGCAGACAAAATGTTATCATCACTGATTGGAGAGAGAGAGAGAGAGAGAGAGAGATGTGTTTGGAGTCTCAGGTTTATCCTAACTGCAGCAGCTGCCTGTCAGCTGAGCCTCCTCCTCTGGAGACTGACGTATAGCTTCTGCCTCTTGTATCAACCTGAAAACTTAAAACTCCACCAACACTACAAACCATCCTGCAGTGGGATCACACCAGTAGCACGCATCAACGTGGTGAGAACCACACCCACCTTTGAACTGGGCCTTGTTTTTGATGTCAACTACACACCTGTGATGTTTTGGGACTGTATCTTCCAGGTTGTGACACTATTGCAGACAGAATTTGTCCACAGACACACAGGCAGGACACACACACAATAACCATAGAAAATGAGCTGATGGTGACAAAGACGTAGACAAACTGTTCATTTCGCATAACCATGTACCTGCTGTGCAGAGGGAGGGGGCTGTCTGTAGGTGGTCACTGATGAAGGTCTATGAGCAAACCCTACAACAATACAGTAGGATGATGGTTATTCAGTTAGAAGCCTACAAGCAAAACTGTGTTACTGTTTCCATTAGCCTGCACAGAGAGCGAGAGAGTGGGCTAACATTAGCTGGCTAACATATTACACTGGCTAACCAGCTATTGAGGCAATAAAACAACATTAAAGCTGCTGTGGTGTGGTGGGACTGTTCTTTTTAGTTCAGAATATATTCATGTATTTTTTAAAAAGGGCACTTTCTCTCTAGGGGGCCAAACAGCAGGTGCTCAAGCATCCTCTTAGCTCCATCTATTCACTTGCATGTTCTTGATTCTATCTGTGGGATCCTCTATGTTACTGAGCTCAACTATGTTCTAATTTCCCCTGCTTGCCTCTGCACTCCAATCTCCTCTCCCCTACCCTAACCTATTTAACATAATGCTGTACATGTTGTCCAGATGAAGTACGGAGGCCTTAAGGACACAGTCGTCCAGTTTCTGTTCTACCAGCCAGTCAGGTACCAGTGGAGAGAGACTGACTTCTTCCCCTGCTCTGTTACCTGTGGAGGAGGTGAGCTGATCATCAGTCAGCTCATAGTAACTGTAAACAGGCCTCTGCATGTTTGAATAATGATTCAACGTTGTTTAGATTATTTTGATCCTCAGCTGTTGTATATCTGTGTCTATTTCCCTCCCCCAGGCTATCAGCTCAACTCTGCAGAATGCACAGACATCCGATCCAACCAGATCCTGCCTGAGCACCACTGTAACAGCTACCCTGAGAACACAAAACCCACACCCAAGCTCAAGGAGTGCAACATGGACCCCTGCAAAGAGGGGTAGAGATCATTATATCATTATAAATTATTTTAGTCAGTGATGTCACAAAAACCAACATTTAACCACTCCATCCACTCTGTAAATTAGGATGTTGGGGAGCTGGAGTCTGCCGTTCCCAGTGCTAGAGGTGGGACAACCCCCTGGAGTTAAGACTTTAGAAAAACCATGACTTTTTGTCGAGAGCTAACATCAATCAGTTCATCCTCTGATGATTCATACAGTAAAAAGTAAAGGCTAACTCTGGAAATGACGAGGTTTTGCAGTGCTGCACTTCACTCAGTGCTTTCTCTTGTTCTGGTTGCTAGACAGTGTTCATGAAATAGTTAACCAGGCAAAACAAAAAGAAACAGGGAAACAGATTTGGCAAAAAATAAGGGATTTTATTCACAATGAAAAAAAATTGACAGTGGAACACTTGGAAACTAAAACTGCACTAAACCAAGATAACCCAAATTAACAGCAACCACAAAATAGGATGAGTATCACTATCAGTTTCAATCAACACCGTAGCTCCGAGGAGCTGACATAGGGAGAACAGACACACAGCTTGTAATGGCCCACTCTGGTGCTGGCCAGGCCTCCTCACTCCACCTCTGTGCTCCAGCTCCTGATTGGGGAGCAAGGACAGCTGTGCTGTGTCACCTGCTGGAGAAAAGGGCAGAGCACAGGGCAGACCAGCACACACACACATAACATAACACTACGGCATGTAGCGCACAGGCATAAAAACTCCACCGCTCTGTACTTTATTAGCTGTAAGTCAGATGATTTACATTTAAACAGATGTTGCAACAGTCATACAGCACATACAGTAAACCATAAAGCATTTAAGAAGCCTGCACATAAGCATGAGAGTGACCAGCAAACATTTGACATTACATACATTTAGTCTTAAATGAAAAGTTCAACATGTGTTGATTGTGTTGTAGCAGAGGTTCAATCCTTTTTGTGCCACAGGTTTGTTGCCATTGCTGCTGGATGTGATTAGGTAGGACTCAAGCCAAATAATTACAATTTGTATACCTGCCAGAAAAAAAGCAAACAATTAAAAACTCATTAGCGGAAACAGTCTGAGTGGGATTACACTTATCATATACTGTATGCTCTGCTGTCTTGACATCACAGTCTCATACACTTACAGTTTTTGTATGTCTCCTGTAGTGATGGATTCAAAGAAGTGATGCCATATGATCACTTCCAACCTCTGCCTCGGTGAGTAACAGTGCTTCACTGCTGTCTGTGGTTTGTGGTGTTGGCTGGGATCTAACACAGGAAGTGAGCGGGCAACAACATAACATTCAGACATTTGTGATTGTGACTATTGGTTGGAATAAACTTATTGATGTAGAAGTAACAGTAAGAAGTATATAAATAAGAGGAGATTAAACTTCCCTGTGACAGAGCGCTGCTGTAAATCCACACAGGATTTTTGGAAGAATTCATGTACATGAAGAAGTGGCATGGCAGCTTTCCAAAGTTTCACATCATACATCTGAGTAGAGAAAACCGACGAGCCTGCAGACAAAAGAGTTTCATTTGATTTTTGTTTTGTTGTTACTGTAAGGTTTTTCCTGATTATACAATTTATATTATGAATCATACAAAACTTCCAGAGAAATAACTCAGAGCACAACATACACATCCAAAGTCAAACTACAATACACCTCTCATCACCTAGTCTCCCCCTCTCATCACCTATTCTCACCCTCTCATCACCCAGTCTCACCCTCTCATGATCCAGGCTCACCCTCTCATCACCTAGTCTCGCCCTTTCATCACCCAGTCTCACCCTCTCACCACCTAGTCTTATAAACCGCCTGTACAAAAAGCCGACAGGCAGTCAGTAACCAGCTGGTGAACAGTGGATGGGCAGGTTCTCCAAAGGAAATATTTTAATAATAATATAATTTAATAATATATTTTCCGCAGAAGTTGGCAGAAATAAAATCAGTGAAAATGAATGAAAATGGACTTCAATAGACAATCATGACGCTGCTCGGTGAGTAAATTGAATTTGTAACCGTTTAGTTCTCCACCTCAAGAAGCTGCTCGTAGATAAATCAAAGTTCTTTGTTTGCTACTTGTTTCGGTTCTTAATTGGCCAAAAAAAAAATGAATACAATACGAAATAAAAAATCAAAGATAGTCTGGCCTGTTAAAAAAACAACAGGCCCGATCCTGCTCTTCTGAAAATATTCGACTACCTTCACATGGTGAAAAATTCATCTTCCTTTCATTTTGTTATAAACACAGTTACTCTGTTCTGTTCCACAGCATCTGTCTGCCAAACTGAAGCATTACTCATCAATCAACAGGCCTCAGACCTTCTCAGTCTTGTTTCAACTCCCCGATGGGGAGATGAGCCATCCAGCTCTGTATAGGAATGTTTTCAATTCTTCCTCCTGAAAGTCTTTGGTTGTGTTGTCTTCAGCTGTGTGAGCTCAGCTCCTGGCTCAGTGGACATGTTGGGAGTGATTGGATGTGACTGCCTCACTGTCACAGGCAGAGAACAATAATAAGCATCATTTCCTTTAGATCTGCCGGGCTGTAATGCTGCAGCACATACTGTTTACCTGCACATGTCTAGACGGTGCGAGTGGGACAGATGCTGAGGGAGTCCACTGATGTGTGTAAATCAGGAGGTGCAAGGCTTTTCCCTAGAATGCCCTGTTGACTTTAATCTCTGCTGATATGCCAAATAACTATAGTGTTGCTGCTGCTAACTGGTTTGTCAGCTGATAGTGCTACTATATATATATATATATATATATAGTAAACACTATCGTATAGTAGCACATTATTATTTGGTTTATGGTTTTAGTAGCTTAAAAATTGAGGTAATGGCCTCATTTGAACTAAACCAAAGTCACCAGTGTGACATCATCTTAACCACCATGCATTTTAAAATCATTCAGTGAGAGACATCCCACTGATGATTTCACCTAAATCCGCATGTTGATCCATTATCATGAACATTAAATGAATCAAAGATGAAAACATGAATTCATCTGCTTAAAACCTACTGACACTGAAGTTCTTCACACATTTGCTTCTAGAATATCCACAAAGTAAAAATGATATTCATATACAGCAACTACTATTTCAATCCACAAAGCAAGGAAATGTTTGTTAAATGTATCATAACTCTTCCTGAGTTTTAAACTCCCTTTTAAAGGCTCCTCCTATCAACCTGATAGGAGTACATCAAAGTGTAAAACATGATATTCCCTGTCCCGCTATGATTAAAACTGGCATTTAGATGTGATCAGGCAGGAATTCTTATTAAACATATAAAGCTTGGGGCAGTTTTGACAATACTAATATAGCAACTTCCTCTAAAAAGGTGGATCATCGAAGTTCGCAATGGGCAGGTTCTCCAAAGGAAAACTCAAAAGCTTTGCAATTTAGAATTATGAGAGCATTAATATTAGACTGACCAAATATAATGTTGTTCCTATCAATTCTCTAGGAGGAGTTCATTTAAGTATGACACCTGGAAATGGGGAAAAATGCACCAAAATTGTACACTGAATTCAAAATGGCCTCCGGTTGTCACAACTGTAAGGGTTGTCAGGGTTTGAGGGGTAAAGCTGGACCCAAATGCAGCCAACACATGGGAGACGGAGCAGACAGGTTTATTAAACTAACACAAGCACAGGGAACCACAGGGGATGACAACAGGTAACATGAACAGGTAACATGAAAAGACAGAAGACAAACCAGACTTGAACAGCTTGAGGGGAAACCATGGATGAACAGATCGAGGAAAATCCAGAAATCAACAGGCATGAACAGGCTAAGGATAAACCCTGAGACAACAAAGACAACAGACAAACCGACCCAGACAAAGGTGAGCACAAAGACTATATAGACAAGGAGGCAAGGGTGATTGCACACAGGTGAAACACATTAGGGCGGGGCAGACAATCACCACACAGAAACAGGACCAAGACAGGAAGCAAAAACACTGACACACAAGGAAACCAATTACAAAATAAAACAGGAAGAGCGAAAAATCCACACAAAACTAACAAAAGGTGTCTGCCATAGCAAACCATGACACCGGTTGGGTTTAGGATATGGTTCCATGGGGCTTTTTTGTAGATCTCCATGTTTTACATATGCGTAACAATATTCATACATCTAGGTGAAACAAGTTAATTTTTCATGGCGAATCATCAAAACTTGCCATGCCACCACAGGCAGACTGTTCAATGAAAAGTCAAAAGCTTTGCAATTTAGCATTGCGAAGGTCTTAAGATGAGACTAACCAAATATAATGTTGATCTGATTTATTTTCTAGGAGGACTGTAGGGACTGTTGTGTGTGAAAATCCAGGAGATCAGCAGTTTAAGAAACACTCAGAATAGCGTCTGACACCAACAGTCACTGAGATCCCATCTTTCCTCATTCTCCTGACCTGTATCTGTGTGATTTTATGCGCTGCTGCCACATGATTGGCTGACTGGTTAATTTCATGATCAGGTGTTCCTAATAAAGTGCTCAGAATATGTGGTGTTTAAGAAAAAGAGCAGGACACATTATGACGATGGATGTCTGTACTGTTATCAAAAAATATTATGTGCATCATTCAATGACCTGAGAGAATGTGAAGTGAGCTTGGTCCCCACTCTTTGTGTGCAGCTGGGAGCAGGGTCCCTGGACCCGGTGCTCTGTGTCCTGTGGTGGTGGCTGGCAGGATCGCAGCATGCTGTGTGTAGAGGAGGACACTCATGGACAGTTCTCCCAGGTAGAGGAGTGGAAGTGCACCCACTCCCCTCGACCTGTCACCCGACAGATTTGCAACGCCTTCGCCTGCCCCCAGTGGGTGGCAATGGAATGGTCTCAGGTCAGTAAGTATCAGTTAATAACATCTACTCTAGTGAGCTCATCTGAACTCATCTATTTTACTTTTATTTTTCTATTGTTCCAATATCATCTGACTGATCACTTGTCAATTATCAAACAGAAATAACAAACATCTGGTTTTGGATTCCATTTTATTTTATATCCTGAACATCATTAATAAATCATTTAACTGAAAAAAAAAAAAAAAGCTGATTAACTTAGTGGGGCTTGGGACCCCCCACAGGAACAATATGATTAACAGGAGAGGAAAGCAGAAAACACAAAGTGGATTTAGTTGTAAGTCCAGTTCAACAAGAATTGCTCAGTCAAGATTGGGAACACTGATCCATCAATAATGAAAATGGTTGCAACCCAAATCGCACTTGTAAAGTGTATAATACTGTATGTAAGCTGTGTGTGTTTCCACCCCATCGCAGTGCACAGTGACATGCGGTCGCGGCCTGCGTTACCGCGTGGTTCTGTGCATCGACCATCGTGGGCAGCACATCGGAGGCTGTGAAGCATCAGTCAAACCTCACGTTAAAGAAGACTGTCTAGTCCCTGTTGCCTGCCATAAGCCCAGAGGTACGACACTAATAACCGATGGAGAGCTGTGTGCATATTGTAAGCCATAATGGATGTTACAAGCTCCCAGATATTTCATAGGTTCTTTTTTGTGATATTCTCCTATTGAATAAAGGAATGAATTTATTAGGATCAAGGGGCTAATACAGCACATAAGGTATAAATATACAGTTGATACAATGAAAGTTTGTTCACCTCACTATTTCACCATACTCATGCACTTTTATCAATTCCAGTATTGTGTATGTGGTATATGGTTTATGGCTGTTGAATTTTTCCAATACTCCAGTAAAGTAACTTGGCATCGCAAGATCAATTTGAAATAGAAGCCTGTTAACATATGTATCATCTACACTACAAATAACATATAGAATGTGTTAATATATTGTGTACTCTAAGTATATGATATATGGTAGAACGAACCGCACTGCAGTTGTGAGTCAGAGCGTTTTGCCAGTTTTGCTTTGATTATTAGCTGTGGTTGTGTGTGTGCTATCCTTAATGCAGTCACCATCCTCACTTTAAAAACAACAGGTTTCATTCGCATCAGCTTCCATCATGTGGCTTCCATTTATGATCTGTCTTGCAACATAAACTCATTAAGCTGCTCGATTCTTTAATTAATTCTCTCACAAAGAAGCTCAAAGCATTCACATGCTTTACTGCATTAACTTAATTATGGCTCTTTTCCTTAATAATAATGCTCAGTGTATAAGACTCAAGCCAAACTCTGTTTGCTGTGATCCAAGTGTGTGCACTCTCTTTCTCTCTGTGAATGTTCTCATTCGTCCAGGTCATAGTTATCTCTCTCTCGAATTAAATCGAAGGCAACTGGACTTGTATTTGTCTGTGGAAGACGTTTCGCCTCTTATCCAAGCGGCTTCATCAGTTCATCATGTATTGGTCTCTCTAGTCCGCACTAGTCTGACTAGAGACTAGTGCGGACTAGAGAGACCAATACATGATGAACTGATGAAGCCGCTTGGATAAGAGGCGAAACTCTCTTTCTCACACACTTTACTTTACTCTAAACATTAATGAGACACAGAACTAGCTTTGATTCCACTCTCACAAAAAGAAGAAAAGAGACAACACTGACATTGAAATTGTGGCTTTGTAAATGCACATTTGACACACTTTCTTATTAGATTTATCACTATCAATGAATAGCTTAAAGGACCAATATGTCACATTTGAGAGTATTTTTGAATATTTTAAACAGATTTTGAATCAATTTTGTATTTGTAAGGCAAAAAAGCATTTGTGGATCTCAATTTCTACACTTGTGGATTTCCATTTTACACACGCAGAGTTTTGAAACAAACCTTCTGCCAGTCTGAACCTGTTGGGTCTGAGCTCTACCTCATGAGCTGGACACCAAATATGTTAGATTTCGGTTTTCTATCAATTTATTGGCTATCATAAATTAAGAAAATATTAATATTAAAAATATTAATATTAAATAACTTTAAAATTAATTAAAGTCCTCGGGGCACCAGCCTAAACTAATAGGCAAAATAGCAAATATGGTTTTAGTCTCAATTTATTACCATTAATCTGGAACTCTGATTAACAATTAGCTTACTAACTATAACCAAATTACCATATCAACAGTAAGTTAAAGTTGAAGGATTGGAATTCTACCAAGTAGAGGTTGGCAACATTCACGCTTATGCAACATTAAACACACCAGTAGTTGTACTTAAAGGCATTTATTTACAATGAGCAGAGTAAAACACAATGTCTAATCTAGTATATACAGGTGTGTGTATGTGTGTGTGCAAGGGTATGTGTGTGTGTCTGTGGGGACACAAACAAAGGCAAGATGGCCGGTTCAAAGTGATCACTGTGACCACATGACCTGAACAAAGAAGACTACACAAGATGGCGGTAAACAAAGAAACTACTCAAAATGGCCGCTGAGACCACCTGGTGTGTGTGAGAGGGAAGGTGTGAGTTTCTTTGTTAGCCTAGCTCATGTAATCTAAAGGTACCAGGTTAGAGGGAGGAGGTTAGCTTCATGCAGGTTCTAGAACTGAGACATACTACTATGTGTGTGAACATACGAGTACCCGATTAACTGTATGACTGACCACAACCTAAGCCAACATTACATCAACAAGACATCAATCAACATGTACATTAACAAAGTTAAGACTTCTGCTGCTTAGCTATGCTGTGCTGTGCTATGCTGCGCTGTGAAAGGTTAGGCCCAGTCAGTTAACTTTACCCAGTCCTTGGAACAAACAAAGAGGTCCTTTCCAGTGTTGTTGTAAAGTCCAGTGAGTTGGGAGGCTTCCTGGTGGAGTAAAATCCTGTCTGGCTGTGGTGCTTTGCTGTTATCTCCTTTGTTCTCCTCACAGAGTTAGCTGTTCCATGCTAACTCTGCTATGACTCCTGTTGCTTAGAAAATCAGCTGACCTTGTGTCGTAGCTGCTGATTCTGAAGAGAATTTGGTTCACTCAGTTAATCCGAAGCAGGTCGCTGCTGTTGAGGAGAAGAGTGTTTGCAGGCTGCTGGTAGCGGGCCGGCGAGGGAGCTGGTTTCTCAGGTAGCAGAGCTGACCTGGGCTGGGGCCTTGTTGCCCTTTGAAGAGTCGAGAGGAGAGAGCAGGAGCTAGACAAGAAGCCAAGAAGAGAAGAGAGTCAAGAGATCTGGTTTCGTTTGGTGACACCATTGGGGGTCACATGTCACACGCTGACCCACATGGGCTGGCCAGTAAGGTCTGTGGGGGGAAGGGTCGTCCCCAGGTGTCAGCAGTGAGGAATTGTGGAGTGTGAGTTCCTTTGTCCAGTGGAGCAAAGAAACATCTGGTCTCTTGAATGATGAGTCCCAACAGAACCAAAATCCATTTGTATCACTCCGGCCACTTTCTTAAAACACATGATCAACTGCTGATGACACCATTTCTGCTTTTCAAAGTAAGAACACACAGTCTTCTATGTGTTGTTTTTTTTCCCAAAATAATTTGTGACAAGCACCGTGCCCTACGTTAACGGTTATAAGATATGAACAGAACAGTGACAGAACCTGGTTATGGTCTTTGATAGTATGGCTGTTGGTGTTAACATTTGTTTTGTTAAATGATGTATTGCAATTTTATTGTTCATTGTTCATTGTTAATATGTTGTTTATTTACTTTCTTACTTTAAGGTGCTTGATGTATCTCGGCCTGAATTGCCGGTGGGATCAGGGCCTGAATTGGCAATATTGAATACTGACCCCCTCGGATGAATGGTTGTGAAACTCCTTTTTTGTCTCTCTGTTAGAATCTCTGCCAGTGGAAGCCAAGGTGCCCTGGTTAAAACAAGCCCATAAACTGGAGGAACACCATACTGCTACAGAGGACCCCACGTGAGTACATGCACACGTACATTTAGACACATACACAGTTCAATGCTCCCTCAACATGTTTCTATGTATATACAACTCAGATTTTCTAAATAATGTCATTTATGTATTATTTAAAAATGTAAGTAAAAAACTTTTAAGAACGAGCTTTCTCTTGCTTGAAACAAGATTTGGTTGGTTTGGAATTTGGCTGTCGAGATGTCCAGGTGCCACAAGTCTTAAAACAAGATCTAATTACTGTTGGGTCTGAGCTCTGCCTCACGAACAGGACACCATAAATGTTGGGTCTGTAGACACCAGGGCGCCATATGTTGGACCTTCGGTTGTCTATCAATTCATTGGCTATCATACGTTAAGAAAATATTAATATTAGAAGGATTAGAATTCTACTGAGTAGAGGATGGCAATATTCAGCCTTGTGCAACATTAAACACACCAGTAGTTATACTTAAAGACATTTTCTTTTTTACAATAGAACAGAGTAAAACACAATGTCTAATCTAGTATATACAGGTGTATGCGTGTATGTGTGCGTGTGTGGTGTATGGGGTTGTGTCTGTGGGGACATGTAGTCTAAAGGTACCAGGTTAGAGGGAGATGGTTAGCTGCATGCAGGCTCTAGAACTGAGATGTACTCCAGGTATCTGTGTGAACATACAACTACCCAATTAACTGTGTGACTAACCACAACCTAATCAAACATAACAAAACATTAACCAACATTTACATAAACAAAGGTTAAGACTTCTGCTGCTTAGGTGTGCTAGATGAGGTTAGGCCCGGTCAGTTAACGTTACTCAGTCCTTGGAACAAAAAGTAAAAGGTCCTTTCCAGTGTTGTTGTAAAGTCCAGTGAGTTGGGTAGCTTCCTGGTGGAGTAAAGTCCTGTCTGGCTGTGTGGCTTCCGCTTTATTCTCCTTTATTCTTCTCACAGAGTTAGCTGTTCCACGCTAACTCTGCTGTTGCTCCTGTTGCTTGGAAAATCAGCTGGCTGACCTTGTGTTGTAGCTGCTGATTCTGAAGAGAACTTGGTTCACTCTCAGTTAATCCTAAGCAGGTCACTGCTGTTGAGGAGAAGAGTGTTGCAGTCTGCTGTGAGCAGGCTGGCAAGAGAGCTTTTTTTCCAGGTAGCAGGGCTGACCTGGGCTGGGGCCTTGTTGCTCCTTAAAGAGCCGAGAGGAGAGAGGAGCTGCTCTCCTGAGAAAGCCAAAAAGAGAAGAGGGGAGAAGAGAGAGGAGAGATCTGGTTTTGTTTGGTGACACCCTGACCAACATTGACTGGTCAGTGAGGTCCCTGGGGGAGGGTCGTCCCCAGGTGTGAACAGTGAGGAACTGTGGGGAAGTGAGTTCTATTGTCTGTAGAACAAAGAGATTTGGTCTCCAGAACCTTGGATGTACTAGAGTCCTAACATTACTTAAACTAGGATTAGTATTATATTTCTAGATAACAAAACTTCCCACAGCGTTACCTCTACAGAGCCTTGCCATGTCTTTAGCTATGGTAGATCAATCAGTTGATCAAACACTCAAATATCTCATCACGAATTTTGTGAATTTCCACAAAATTTTATAAAGATATTCATGGTTCCCTGAGGATGACTGGCATCAACACTGGTGATCCCTTGGCTTTCCCTCTATTGCCACGATAAGGTTGATGTTTTTGGTTCTGAGTGAAATGTTTTGCCAACTATAGGATGGATTGCCCTGAAATATGAAATATGGTAGAAATATTCATGATCCCCAGCGGATGAATGTCTATTACTTTTCCTATTGCACCAGTAGCTGGATAAGTTTTCAGTTATCTCAACATCTACTGGATAGATTGGGATGAAACTTGGTTCAGACATTCATGTTCCCCTCAGGATAAATTGTAATAACTGGTGATACTCTGACATTTCACCTAGTGCTATCATCAGATCAACATCTCTATCTGCCCAATAATTTGTTAATGACCAAATACCTACAAAACTAATGACATCCACCTCAGCTTCGGCTGATTCCCCTCAGCATTTGTTGTACTTGTCTTTAGATAGATAGATAGATAGATAGATAGTTTATTCATCCCCTAGGGGAAATTCATGTGTCCATTTGCTCATTGTTGATAATAATAATAATAATAATAATAACAAAAAGTTAATAATAAATAAACATTAATAATTAGATTAGTCCACTTCCTTTGGCTGAGGTGTTGTATGCCTGATGGCAGTGGGAACAAAGGATCTCCTGAACCTCTCTGTTCTGCAGTGCAGTGAGATGAGACATTTGCTGCAGCTGTAGCTGCTTCTCTGTCCTGCCAGAATGTTTTGTCGCCTGGGCGAGGGTGTCTGTTGTGAGACCTGAAACACCCCGTGACCCCAGGATACAACACTGATGATGTGTCCAAGTTGCACCAGGAGGTGTATATTAGAACTAGTTGATCTGGCCAAGCCAGTGACCTCCGGGAATAGGCCGGATGACGACCATGAAAGTATGGCGACTGCTGGAGAGACAGCCGACAACTGGAAAGACAGTAACCGGGGCAGAGAGGGTTAGCAACCCAAACTGCAGCTCCCGTGAGGGTGCACCCACAAGCAAGCTACGGAAAACCCTACTGGATTATACCCCCAGGGGTGCCCGAGAGGGGGGGAGGATGAGCACCCCAACAGGACGGACAAACAGGCAACGACCCATGCTAACGGAAAAACGACGATGAGCGCAGTCTGTTCATGTGGCAAAGTCTGCAAGAACCCACGTGGTCTGAAGATCCACCAGACCAAAATGAAATGTTTGACGGGGACGCAGGTGGTGCAACGCACGGGTCCAGTACCTGGTGAGACGCAGGAGGAGCCCGGCCGGGAGTCAACCCACAGTGCCCAGACCCTCCACGCCCCACAAGCCCCACCCCGTGTCAGGCATTCTGAACACCGTCGGGTCATGTGGCCTTCTGCCAACAAGGAAAGAGAGTGGATCCAGTTCGATGAAGACCTGGACCAAGTCCTCGAGGCTACTGCAAGGGGAGTTGCTGACCAGAAGTCCGCAATGATCACCAGCATCGGTGCTGAAAGGTTTGGCTTAAAGGAACAGCAGGCAACCAGAGGTCTAGGGGAACCAAACAGACGGGAGGTGAAGATCCGTCAGCTTCGGCAGGAACTTAGACTGCTTGGACGGCAGTTTAAGCAGGCAAGGGAGGAGGAGAAGGCTGGGCTGGTAGAGCTCCGTAATACCCTGAGGAAAAAACTCACCACCCTCCGTCGAGCCGAGTGGCATAGAAGGAGGGGTAGGGAGAGAGCCAGGAGACGTGCAGCCTTCATCTCAAATCCCTTTGGTTTCACCAAGAAGATCCTAGGCCAGAAGAGAAGTGGCCACCTTGCCTGCACTGAAGATGAGGTTAACAAGTACCTCAGTGCCACCTACAGTGACAGTGCAAGATTGGAGGATCTTGGGCCATGCAGGACCTTGATAACTCCGCCAGAACCCACCTCAGCATTTAACACCAAGGAGCCAGCTTTGAAAGAAGTTGAGGAGGTTGTCAAGGCAGCTAGATCCAGTTCAGCACCAGGCCCCAGCGGAGTGCCATACGTCGTCTACAAGAGATGCCCCAGACTCTTGAAGCGACTATGGAGGATCCTCAAAGTCATCTGGAGAAGGGGGAGGGTGGCCTGGCAGTGGAGACACGCAGAGGGTGTCTGGATTCCAAAGGAGGAGAACTCAGCTACCATCGAGCAGTTCAGGATCATCTCACTCCTCAGCGTCGAGTGCAAGATATTCTTTAGTATTGTTGCCCGGCGCATGACGGAGTTCCTCCTGAGGAACAGTTACATCGACACCTCTGTGCAGAAGGGGGGAGTCCCAAAGGTTCCAGGATGCATTGAGGAGGAGGAGTCGTCACCCAGCTGATCCGGGAGGCACGGGAGGGCAAAGGAGACCTGGCAGTCCTCTGGCTCGACCTTGCCAACGCCTACGGGTCCATTCCACACAAGCTGGTGGAAACCTCGCTCGACCGGCACCACGTTCCAGGCAAGATCAAGGACCTCATACTGGACTACTACAGCTGCTTCAGTTTGAGAGTCACTTCTGGAACAGTAACATCCACGTTTCATCGGCTTGAGAAGGGCATTATCACAGGATGCATCATTTCTGTGATATTGTTTGCCTTGGCCATGAATATGTTGGTGAAGTCAGCAGAGGTGGAGTGCAGAGGCCCACTCACCAACTCAGGTATGCGGCAGCCCCCTATCAGAGCATTTATGGATGATCTGACAGTGACTACAACATCAGTCCCGGGTTGTAGATGGATCCTCCAAGGCCTTGAGCAACTCATTGGCTGGGCCCGAATGAACTTCAAGCCAGCCAAGTCCAGGTCCCTGGTGGTGAAGAAGGGGAAGGTTACAGACCGGTTTCGCTTCTCAATAGGGGCCACCCAGATTCCATCTGTGGGAGAGAAGCCAGTTAAGAGTCTGGGCAAGATCTATGACTGCACCCTGAAGGACACCGCTGCACTCCAAGCAACATCAGAGGAGTTGGGAACCTGGCTGACAGCAGTGGATAAGTCAGGGCTACCAGGCAAGTTTAAGGCCTGGATCTACCAACATGACAACTTGCCACGACTCCTCTGGCCACTGCTGGTCTATGATGTGCCGATGACCACCGTCGAGTGCTTCGAGAGGAAGGTAAGCTCTTTCCTACAGAAGTGGTTGGGCCTACCACGAAGCCTCAGCAGCATCGCCTTGTACGGGAGGAACAACAAGCTGAAACTGCCCTTCAGTAGTCTGACGGAGGAGTTTATGGTTACCCGAGCAAGAGAGGTGCTGCTGTATAGGGACTCTAGTGACATCAAAGTCTCCTCGGCTGGCATTGAAGTGAGGACCGGCAGGAAGTGGAAGGCCCAAGACGCAGTCGACCAGGCTGAGTCCCGCTTGCGGCACAGTTAGCTGGTGGGTACAGTGGCATCTGGACGGGCAGGACTTGGGAGCAACCCAAGACCGTCCTACAACAAGGCCCAGGGGAAGGAAAGGCGTCAGCTGATCCAGGAGGAGGTCCGAGCAGGGGTGGAGGAAGCCCACTGCAGTAGGACAGTAGGGATGCGGCAACAGGGGGCGTGGACCCGATGGGAGGAGGCAGCTGACCGGAAGGTATCGTGGACAGAGCTATGGCGATCTGAGCCACACCGGATCAAGTTTCTCATTCAGTCGGTGTACGACGTCCTCCCGAGCCCATCCAACCTCTTCCGCTGGGGCTTGGCCGAGAATCCACTGTGCCCTCTCTGCCAAAGAACTGGATCGCTGGAGCACATCCTGAGCTGCTGCCCTAGGGCTCTGGGAGAGGGGCGTTACCGCTGGCGCCATGACCAAGTGTTGCGGGTCATCGCAGAGGCCATCAGCACAGGGATCTCCACCAGTAAAGGCCAACAACCAACAAGGCAGTCCATCGCCTTTGTTAGGGCTGGGGAGAAGCCGCAGCAGTGCCGGAGTCAAGCAGGGGGGCTGCTGGCGACAGCTCGGGACTGGCAGCTGAAAGTCGACCTAGGAAGACAGCTCAAGTTCCCGGAGAACATCGCAGCAACCACACTCAGGCCAGATATGGTCCTGGTGTCAGAAACAACGAGACAAGTGGTCCTGCTGGAGTTGACTGTTCCCTGGGAAGACCGGATGGAGGAGGCCTTTGAGAGGAAGAGGGCCAAGTATGAGGAGCTGGCAGGTGAATGCCGTAGCAGGGAATGGAGAACCCGATGCAATCCCATTGAGGTCGGGTGCAGAGGATTCGCCGGCCAGTCTCTCATCAAGGCACTCAAGATGCTGGGTGTGAAGGGACTGCAGAACAGAAGAGCCATCAAGAACATCACTGACGCAGCAGAAAAGGCGTCTAGATGGCTGTGGATCAAGCGGGGCGATCCGTGGACCACACGTGCTACTTAGACACAAGCCGGGACTGATCACCCTGGCTGGGTCGCCTGGGCGAGGGTGTCTGTTGTGAGACCCGAAACACCCCATGACCCCAGGATACAACACTGATGATGTGTCTAAGTTGCACCAGGAGGTGTATATTAGAACTTGTGGAGAGGATGGTTGGTAATGTTTAAGATGGCCTCCATCTTACATTGCATGCGTCTTTCCACAACAGTCCTGAGTGAGTCCAGACTCCTGCCAAGCACAGACCCAGCCTTTTTGACCAGCTTTTCCGGTCTCTTTGTGTTCATGTCGGACATGCTGCTGCCCCAGCAGACTGCAGCATAAAAAAGTACACTGTGATAGGCGTAGACGTCAAAGGCCCTGAGCCTCCTGAGGAAAAAGAGCCCGCTCTGCTCCTTCAGACAGATGGCATCCGTGTTGAGGGACCAGTCCAGTGTACTAGTAGCACTAGAGCAAAAACAATTACCATGGTGCATTTTTCAGAAGCAGACGAGGTGGCTTCATTCAGGTGGTCTGTGTCTGTTTTTCTAAAAAATTAAATCCAGGTCAGCCAGTGGACTGTCAGAAGATACATAAAGTTTTTGCTGGCTGTCAGTGTCTTTCATGCGGCCAGTCTGAGAGGAGAATCCTATGAGTTGCTAAAATATCTAGCTTGACTCAGAACTGGGTTTTCTTCTCCTACATGTGTGAGTAACTTGATGGTTCTTCATGTTACATGTCTGTTTTCATTAGTGATGGCTACAGTAGACATGATAATGTTAGCTAACTTGCTGTAACCCTTATGATGAATGTGTTTAGCAAATGTCGTTATCACTAGCTTGCTAACTGTCAACATTGCTGTTGATCATATCACACCAATGCTACCATGGGCTAATGGTTGTGGTTAGATTTTTTTGGTTAGCTCTCATGTTTACAGGGAAACTTTATTCAGTTGTGCTTCTTGTTGTACGTGTTCAGTGGATGATGACCATGAAGGGAGGGGGTTTATGGCTAAAGGTAGCCCGGAAGTCTGCCAGATGAAGCATTTGTTTTGAAGGAATCCCTCTGCAGCCTGCAATACTTACAGTTATGCCCACTTCATATTACATCATATTACGTCCCTCCAGTAGGAGGGATGGAGCTGGAGGATGTGGCAGGGGAGAGGAATGTCAGGGCAGTCCTGCATAGGCTGCTGCCCCTGAGACCCAGACACTGATAAGCAGTACAATATGGATGGATGGCAAATGATAGTTTATCACAGTAAATTAATACATCTTATAATATTTCATGTGGCCCTGGTTATTTTAAATGTGCACTCTCCTCAGCTTGACTGGAGTCCAGTTTAGTGTGACAAACCATTTAAATTGAATTGGATGTGTATGTTCTTTCCCATCTCTTGTTATCTTACTGTACATCTTTTAACCAACTGACTGCAGGTGCAGTTTGGCTACCAGATGCAAAACAAATAATGAACAAAAATGTGCTGGTTTAAATCCAAACACAGGCTCTGTAAATGCTCCCTTCAACTGTGTTCAGATTCGTACCTGGGCCCTGGTCACCCTGCAGCACCACCTGTGGGCCTGGCAGGCAAACTCGGGAGGTGAAGTGCCGGGTGATGCTTTCATTCACCAAGACGGAGGTGGACCTTCCAGAAGAAGAGTGTGACAAGGACAGACCCCACCTGGAGAGGCCCTGTAACCAGGAGCCATGTACCCAAGTTTCGGGCATCTCTTCAGGCCTTCACGATCATGGGGCCTCCTACATCCAGATGGATGAACTGTACAGCTGGGACTACAGGAGCTTCACTGCCTGCTCAGCTACGTGTGCTGCCGGTGAGGTTTCTGAAATGGCCGTTGGGAGTTAAGCTGCTCTGGATTCTTTTGTCCATACGAGCAGTATTGTCCCGTCATGTCCAACTGGTTCTGTATGTCTCTGTACTCTGCCCAGGGAAGCAGACAGCAGTTGTGAGGTGTGTTAACAGAAAGCAAGGTGATGAGGTGGAGGACTCGCTGTGTGATTCATCCAGCAGGCCTCCAGTAATGTTCCGCATCTGTAACCCTGAACCGTGCCCCCCGAGGTGAGAGACCACAGGGTCACTAACGTCACTCAAACTCACAGAACCTGAACTACCATCAGCTGGAGGCCTCCAGTTTAAGTTTGAGCTCTCTCTGTACCGGGTTTGAATATTACTGCTTGATCAAGTGAACAAGACTCATGACCACTGAGTCATTTAAATTGATCAGATTGATGTAGCACCACCTATGGGTGAAATGCCACCAATTTATGCAAGATTAGGTTTGGTAGGTCTCAGTCTCTGAGATTTTATAGTGGCCTCTTGTAAGAATCACAGTTTAGTGATGTGGTTCTGTTGTAATGCTGAATATCATCATGGGTGGGGCCTCCCTCTCCCCCTCTCTCTAAGGAGTTGGAGCAGGTTAAGATTACCGTTCTACTAATGATATTCTACTGTTCATGTAAGACTAGTGAATGTTGTATGGTCGATGTTCAGTAAATTCACTCAGAAGCAGCACAGGCTGCCACTGACTGTCCTTTCACCCATTTGGTTGGTTGCTAGTAATATTCCTAAAAATTATGTTATTTTTTTCTCTCGAAATTTTACATTTTTAAGTCTTGTAATATTACAACTTTATTCTTGTAATAGTATGACTTTTTTTCTCAGAATATTATGATTTTATTCTCAAAATTTCAGATTTCTTTTTTTCCTCAACTTGGCCATAATACTCTATCGTAGATAAGTAATACAGACATGATATCTGATTAATATACATGAATTTTATCTGTCTTCTATGGCAGTTTACTATATATAGTACATGTATAAGTGCTCTATGGCACCATAATCATTTTGTCACATGTTTTTTCAGAGGAAATCACTAAAAAGCAGAAACTTTATGCAACACCAGAGCCATACTACATTATTCAAGCAAAGCCAAGCTCTGAGACATGAAGCAATTCAGAGCAGTGATACAAGCTGTGCATCATGAGTGATTAATGCCACTGAGAAATTATGCTTTCTGGAGCCTCAGTACAGAAGGTAGAGATGTAACAGAGCTTATAAGACATTTTCGGAAATTAATTATTTCATGAATTCATGATACAGTGTATTATCATTTATAATGATTCAGTGTGGGAATGAATCACCACTTCTACAGCCCACCTCCTAGAAAGAGCCTGCAGACTAATATTTAGCAGTATTAAGTGTCCAACTTACCCTTTTCTCTCTCTCTCAGATGGGAGGTGACAGCATGGACCAGCTGCTCTGCATCCTGCGGCGTTGGAATACAGACCAGGAGTGTGTTTTGCATGCGTCTGTTGTCTGTTGACCAGCAGGATATTCTGACTGTTTCAGAGGAAGAGTGCAGGGAATTCAAACCTGCCATCCTGCAACCCTGCAACCAGGTTGACTGTCCTCCAGCCTGGGAGACCGAACCTTGGCAACTGGTATGGACTTTCTTTGTGTGTGTGTGTGTGTGTGTGTGTGTGTGTGTGTGTGTGTGTGTGTGTGTGTGTGTGTGTCAATGTATTTGATTAAAAACTGATTGAAGTCCTCCTTTCCTACCTACATACTCTACATCTGGTTCCTCTCTCCAGTGCTCCCAGTCCTGTGGTGGGGGTGTCGAGGTGCGGAAGGTCTACTGTAAGCAGCTCTTGTCTACAGGGGCCTATAGGAGGCTGGGAGACACAGCCTGCTGGGGGGGCAAACCTGCCACTAACAGAGGCTGCAGCAGCACTGATTGTCTGCCCTACATGACAGCAGGAGAATGGGGAAAGGTACGTACCTGCATGTGGAGAAATGAAATACATGATGGAGGAGGGCTGGAGGCTGCAAGCTGGAATAAAAGCTACTGTTTCAATATTACAAAAAAGAAATCAATCTAATATTAATAAAGGCCTGATGATTTCTACATTTATAACTGCAACATTTTTAAGCAAGATCATTTATATTCAATGGAGCTGCAGCATTTTGCCTGCAGAGGGCGAAGTGACTCCAGACAAATTGTTCATGAACTTTATTGAACTCACTCAAATTTTTGCCATTGACAATAGCAAACTGTCTTGACAGTGCTGAACCTTGAAGGAAAGTAGAGCCAGAGAGTCCAAATCAGAGGAAGTTGTCATTGACACATCTCAGCTGTCATTATTTCCTGTTTTATTTTTGAAATACTTACCTGTCTTGTCATTTCAGTTCCTACCTGCATTTGTCTCCCAACCCCCATCATTTACACCTACCTCCAATTATTCACCTGCTGTAGTATATTATCCACTTCGTTTCCTCCTATTTCAACAGTCTAACTTGTTACATGTTCTTCTTGTATGTAAGTTTTATTAATAAGTTAAGGAAGAGTGTCAATTAAGACTTTGTCAAAAGTTACTTTGAACCACTCATTATAAGTTAAGTTTAAGGAATGTGCATTAGGGGGTAAATCTGCTTACCCATCGGTTTTCTGTCTCCTACGATATAAGAGATTTAGGATGTGGGTTTTTTCTGGCCTAAAAGGTCAAAAGGCCAGAGACCAGAGGTCGTTGACCAGATATGGTCGACCATTTGGGTGAAAGCTCCTTCTATTAAAAGAAGGGCACATCCCAAAGGTGGGATGAGACAGATAAATAGAGGGGTTCATGAGACGGCAGGAGAGAGATCTCACATTGGCAGAGATACTCCAGGATTTGGCACTTTTGACACTGTTTCTTTCTTGTAAATAAACTTCTTTTTGATTGCAAGTAAAGACGTGTCAGCGGTGATCACTTCTTCACATCAGCCCCTCAAGATACCACACTGCCCCTGATGTTCCTGTCCATTAGCCCCATATTTACATACTCACCTGTTTCTTCTTTGCCAGATTGTCTTTGTCTCTCCAGCATTTTCTCCTGGTGTTTGATTCCATGGTTTTTGACTGTTTGTTCTCAGTTCTGGGATTTTTACCCGCTCCCAGTCAGCTCCTGTTTGACCTGTTTGGACTGCTTGCTGGTGTATGATCTGCTTGGACATCAGTAAAGACTTTGCCTTTTTATCCCAACAGCAGCCTTCTGTGTGTCTCTCTGCATTTGAGTCACAGCGTTTCTAGTTTTGTCACAGTACAATTTGGCCACGGCAGACTCAGCAGGGAAAGCAGTCAGACAATCAGTTGCACAGCCACAAACTGCTGTTGATTAACCTGGCCAGAGGAGTACAGGATCTTCACGTGTGACATGACTTTCCAAGTGACTCACAATGATGGAGCAGCTCAATCATCTGCCCATCACTGGAGACTTTATTGGAGGCATGAAGATGGTTTTTGTAATCAGACTCCTGGTGGAGAAGCAGCCCTGGATTTACTGGCCGTGCAACAAGGAAACAGCTGGGTGGCAGATCACGGCAACCCTTTTCTGACTCTAGTGAGTGGAACACTCACTCATTTTTTAAGTCTATTTGGACTAGAAGGCAGTGTTTAGCAAAGCCCAGGTCTTGTCCCTACCTACTCAAAGATCATACAACTGCACCATCCACCTCTGTCTTGTGACCTCTCCTCCTAAGGGCCTCCTTTACTCTCTGTCCACCCCAGAATTGGAGGCAATGGACCAATACATCCAGAGCTCCTTGACCACCAGCCTCATCCATCCTTCTTCCTCCCCTGCAGGTCCAGGATTCCTCTTTGTGGATAAGAAGGATAAGACCTTGCACCCCTTCATTGACTACAGAGAACTCAATGAAGTCACCATCAAGAGCTGCTTTTGAACTGTTGCAGGGAGCCACTATTTTCACTAAACTCGACCTCAGAATCCGCATCAGAGATGGGAATGAGTGGAATACTGCCTTCAACACACCGTGTGGATGGACAGTATGAATACTTGGTTATGCTTTTTGACTTTACTAATGCACAAGTTGTTTTCCAGGTCCTAGATAATGATGTTCTTCATGATAGGTGTTTGTATACCTGGACATTCCGATCTTTTCCAAGGATGAGAGGAAAGATGTGTTGCATGTTTTTGCAGTGATTGTTGGAGAACCAGCTGTTTGTCAAGATGGAAAAGTGTGAGTTCCACCAGGAGTCAGTCTTCATTTATGGGATTCATTGTATCCCCCGGAAACATTCAAATGGACCCAGCTTAGGTTTCAGTTTGCCTCTTCCCCCATCCTAACCATGCCAGATCTCAAACTTACCACTTGTGTGATTGGTGCTGTGACCTGGGATATCAAAGGCAAGTCAGACGTGTGCTGCAGGGGGCCCAGGACCCCAGTGGATGCTCTCAGTATCGCCTCTTCGTTCTAGTCACTGCACTTACGGGAGCTACAATGGGGTCATTCCTCCAAGCTCAGCTGCCATCCGGGGGTGAGTCAGACCATCAGCGTCATGAGTGGTTTTGGTCGCTTTCACTAACTGAGGACATCTCCTGTTTGTAGCCAGAATGAGACCTCCCAGAGACCACCATTTCGACTCCTTTGGCTCCTCCCTGTGCCACAACAACCATGGTCCCACATTTACCTGGACTTTGTCACAGGTTTGCCCCCTTTAGAAGATAACTGTGTCACCCTCACTACCATAGACCACTTTTCCCACATGGCTCACTTTCCTCTGCCCAGATCCCCTTTTGCCAAGAACATAGCAGAGATAATGTTATCTCATGTGTTTCCATTGCATGGCTGCCCACAGGATGTGGTTTGTCTCAGACAGAGGTCCTCTGTTCACCTCCCGCTTCTGGAGGGAATTCTGCAAACTTATTGGAGCCACAGCCAGTCTCTTTTCACCCCAAATCCAACAGGTGTACAGAATGCTACAATCAGGAGATGGGGACTCAGGTGTCTGGTGTCCCAGCATCCATCCCCTATAGCCAACAACTGGTATGGATTGAGTCTGCTCACAGATCACTTCCTCTCTCTCCCACTGGTCTATCCTCTTTCCAGTGTGTGTGTATGGTTACCAAACACTGCTGCTCCTCGACATTGAGGATGAGGTCGCTGTGCCATCTGACAAGCTGTGGTGTGTCTCTGTCGCCTCACCTGGAAAAGGGCCTGGGCTGCTCTCCTACCTTCCTCCAAGTGTTACAAGACCCGCAGCCCTGTTATCGAGTGGGACAAGGTTTGGCTATCCTCCCAAGAACTCCCCCTCCAAGTGAACAGTCACAAGCACAAACCCAGGTTTGTCCCTATCGAAAATCAGAAGTTAGTAATCGTGTGACTGTTCAGTTGCGTCTCATAGGACTATGAGAGTTCACCCCACACATTTCCAAGCCTGTCAAGACAAGCCCATTGGTTCCCTTCTCCAGACCTCCCCCGATCCCCCAGGTCATTGATGGCAGTACCACCTTCACTGTGAAGCACTCGTTGGCAGTTAGCCACAGAGGGCTTAAAGAAAGGTTGTGGTTTCCCTCCATGGACATTCTGGACCAGTTTGTCTGTTGTTTCACCAGTGTCATCCTGAACAACCTGGGACTTCTGGAGCCCTGTGTTAAAGGGGAGAGTGGGGCACTGTCACACATCTGTTCAATTATTATTTCCTGTTTTTGTTTTGAAATACTTACCTGTTTTGTTGTTTCAGTTCCTGCCCTTGTGTGTCTCCTGACCCTCATCATCCACACCTGCCTCAATCCCTCACCTGTTCCTGTCCATCAACCCCGTGCTTATATACTCACATGTTTCCTCTTTGACAGATTGTCTTTGTTGGCTTGCGTGTTCACATTTTCTCCAAGTGTTTGGTTCCATGGTTTTTTATTTAGTTTGTTCTCTGTGTTTGGATGTCTGCTCCTGTTTGCCCTCTCTGGACTTTCTTAACTCAACAATAAATGTTGAGGTTTAATTTTTTAACTGTAAAAAAACTCTTTCCTTTATCTTTATTGTTCCTTGATGGAAAATTTGACTTAGGGGACAGTAGCGGGCACACAAACTTAACATATAAGAGGACATCAGGCATTAATCACAGCAGTTACAGAAAATAATTAAATGAAAAAGTTGGATCTGTTCATAAAAGATGTCAAACCACTACAGTCAAGGTTACTTTAACCATACTTGACATGTTCAAAAATTGGCCGTTGTCAACTACCATGACGCACTCTGGTGTTATGTTCTATCTGACGATAACGATGTTGAATCATGTTTGCCATCAACATTCCCATTCTGTTCTGTTCTTCTTTGCTCTATAGTGCTCAGTGTCCTGTGGTTTGGGGATCCAGCGTAGGGAGCCACTGTGTCGCCAGCTGACAGCCATGGGACATCAAGTGATGCTGGCCAGGGAGCTGTGCTCAGGGTTACCCTCCCCACCACTTGTACGAACTTGCCGCATGATTGCCTGTCCCAGTAAGAACAGACACTCACACACATTATAATACAATTATGCATTGTATGGAAAACAGAAGATGAATACAAAACTAAAATTCTGTCAGTGTCCTGCACTGTCATGACATAGAACGGATATACAAGAAAAGACTGCACAAGTTATTTTCTAATGCTCAAGTTTAGTTTCCACATGTCTGTGCATGCATATAATGCTGCAATATCATCGCTGATCTCAGATCAGTGGAAGCTGAGACACAGACAGCTTAACAATCAAACTTTTGCTATAGCTAGTCACCAGTCAAAGATCCAGGATTATCCTCAATGCATGTGTGCAACAGGACACAGTCTTGCCCATGGAAATGACAGAAACAATAGATGGAAAGTCTGCTAGTCAACTAACCTCTAGAGACTGTAGTCTACTGCTGCCACAAGAGCGCAGTAAATAACATGACCAATGCAAACAGGCTGTATGAGATCCTTTATGGGACAGAATGCTGTTCTGAGATCCGATATAAGGAGAGATATCACTTCACTTCAGTATCGTTGTAATTGATGTCTATTTTTAGCTTTAACTGGCAAAACATTGCTTGCCTTGCTTCCCCTGATGGCACAACACTGCTGTATGTGTAATCGACTGAAAGTGATTAAACATGGGGCTTTTAGCAATGTATACCCATCATCAACAGTTGACTCTGAACTCTCTGAACATGAATATTTGAAGCCAGACTAATCATTCTTCATGCTAACTGTGCTGTACATATGCAGGCAGCTTGGTGTGTGTGTGGTCCCTACATGTGGAAAGGAAATCAGAAAATTGTCCATCAAGTTCAGCATCCGTTCATTGAGTGCTGATGAGTTCACATAAAGCTACAGGTTCTGCAAGTTCTCCACTGTCTGCACATTCAGATTCACTGTGTGCATGTGAAGGCACACAATCCTATTCCAACATCAACAGAGCCACCATTTAATCTGATGCTGTAATTCTGTATGAGTCCTTGTAACTCACCTGAGCAGGGACAGTTAAACATATGATTGAATGCCTAGCAAATGTCACAGTGATTTCTGAGCGTCAGAGTCCAAGTGTGTGTTTTTCTCTCCAGCTGCTGCTGCCTGCTTTCTCACAAATACTATAGGTTAATTAGGATTAAGGTCAAGTTCTATGAAGTAGGGTTCGACTGATTATCGGATATGACATTCATCACTTTTATGATTCTCAGAATAATTTTTCTTTAACCAAGTCACCTCTCCCTGTCTGTCACCACTCTATGGTCTGGAGCAGTGTCCCACCCATACCACTATCTGACCAACTAGCAGATCTGAACAATATGTAAACAACTCCTGAATTAGTGAAAGTCACTAAAAGGAGCAGAGAGTTCTGGGTGCTGGAGCAGAACTAGTGTAAGTTTGACTGTACAGCAGATAGTTAAACACTGTGATGAAGAAAACAGCAACATTAACTGTGTTCAGACGGAGCAGCAATAAACTTTACCAGTAACAGAAACTCCAGAGACTGGAGATGAGTCACTACACTGACTGCAGCTCGTCAGCATGTTAATTACTTGTGTAAAAATGTCCTCAGATCAAAGTTTTATTGTGTCACATTTTTAACAGGGGATGGGGAGGGATAAAAAATTGTTATATGGTGATAACATATAAGATCAATTGTTATTGAAGTTTTGTTTATAAATTTAAGTGGACCCCAGGAAGAGTAGCCATTGTTATAGCACAGTGACTAATGGGGATCTAACTAAAAAAAATGCATATTGAATGTTGTTCTCAGGCGAGAACAGCACAGAGAGCAACCAATAAATTCTGGTCAGGAACACCTAACTGAAACTGATGTAGTCTAATACAACAGTCCTGCAGTAAATTCTCCTTCATGAAGGTTATAATGTTCAGTTTGTATTAAAATTGTTTTAGACGGTTGTTGATTCAACTGTATGATCATTGTGGAGGATGTAGTGTGTGGTGGTACAGGTGGTGAAACACCTGTGGCCAAAGATTTGTTTTAGCAGTAGGTTTGTATTGGCATATCAGTTCCAAATACCAATGCAATTATTGCTCTCCTTGATTACTAATAATCGGTATCAGAATGGGCCCTGAAAAAAATCTTACCAGTCGACCCCACTGTGAACGTCCTCCAGGACAGACTGTCTAAATGTGTTGTTATCCCCATATTTAAATATGTCTCCCTATGACAGCAAGTTCTCATTCCACCTTCCAGTGTGGCTGTTTGAAACACGTCACTAAACTAATTCTATTCTAACATAAACCCCTACAGGTTTCATGACTTTATTTTGGTCTTTATGTGTATCTGGTGTTTTAGACCCCATTTTTGCCTGCGGTCTGTTTCACCAAATCTTTCACCATGCAAACTGCAAGAGGAAATTGTTTCCTCTTGTGTTCATTTTATCACATTTCACATTTCACTAATCAAATCATCTTGCAAAATTCAGTACAATTTGCAAGTGACAATCATTACAGAGAGACATGAGACATGATGCTGCAACATGTCAGCAGTGATTGCACTGGATATTTACATCAGATACATGGGCCTTTGCATTTACACCCATTCTTGTTATATTGATCCTGATCTCAATAACGTAGTAATAATAATGTTACTTGTAATGGGCATGGCTAGCTCATTTGTTAACAAACATAGCACATTCCAGGTGGAGGGAGGTAGACAGGTTCATTTTCAAATCACTCTTTGAGAATGCAGGAACACCAGCAGGAACAAACAGAGTTCAATGATCTTCTGGACTTCAGCCGTCTGAGTTAGTTTGAGTTAGTCAGATGGAATGGGTATCTTCCAACATGTAAATACTTTTAAGTACAAAATGCACCTTTTGTATTTCTAGTCCTCAGGATATGTCCTCACATGCAGGTTTGTTGCTGGGAATAAAATTCCACATGTGATATTTGAGACAGTGGTTAGCGCCCCCCCCCCCCCCCCCCCCCCCCCCCCCCCCCCCCCCCCCCCCCCCCCCCCCCCCCCCCCACCCCCCCCCGCCCCCCCCCCCCCCCCCCCCCTCCACACCCTACCCCCCCCTCCCCCCCCCCCCCCCCCCCCCCCGCCCCCCCCCTCCCCCCCCACCCCCTCCCCCCCATCCCCTACCCCCCCGCCCCCTCTTCCCCCCCCCCCCCCCCCCCCCCCCCCCCCCCCCCCCCCCCCCCCCCCCCCCCCCCACCCAAACGCCCCCCCCCCCTCTCTCGTCTTCCTCCTCTCTTCCCCCCCCCCCACCCCCCCCCCCTCCCCCATCGTCCCCCCCCCCCCCCCCCCCCCCCCCCCCCCCCCCCCCCCCCCCCCCCCCCCTCCCCCCCCCTCCACCCCACCCCCCCCCCCACCCACCCCCCCCCCCCCCCCCCCCCCCCCCCCCCCCTCCCCCCCCCCCCCCCCCCCACCCCCTCCCCCCCCCCCCCCCCCCCCCCCCCCACCCCCCCCCCCCCCCCCCACCCCCCCCCCCCCCCCCCCCCCCCCCCCCCCCCACAAATTGAGTCACTGTTTTTGTCATTAACCCTCTAACATATGAATCTGATCTGTAAAACACCCTGAACATTCAGCCTGAAGTTAAAATACCACATAGCACAAGTATAAAAACTTTCTTCCCCTCATCTTGCCTCCTCACATCCATGACAGAAAAGGGAAATACTGACAGATGCTGTTTATTGTCCAGACATAGACCTGTGATGAGATGTGACACACCACACCCCTTTAGCCCAGTAGTTCTCAGAGAGAAAGAAAGGACCACTCATCCTAAAAACTTCACAGTTGATACTACACTTCCTCAGCAACACACCTGCAAAGAAACTGATGAGAGGAGCAGTTGTGGAGAAAATCGAACGACACAGACAGCAGTTAAATATAGTGCTCGCTATATTGTAATAAACACAGAAGGCCTCCTTGTTTACACAGTGTAAGACAAGTGTATACCACCTCAGCAATGTTAGGGTTAGGGTTAGTCTTCACTGTAAATCTCATAACAACTCTTTTTTATTGAATGTTACTTTTCCTCAACTCAGTTTTGTGGAGAAAAGTCTCTGTGTAAACATAATGAAAATGGAAATTGCAATAGTCAAAATCAATGTTATGGTGAGAGAAGACCACAAGAGAGCTGCACTTATCCAGCCTACTAATTAATAGTGTAATAGAAACATAGGCCTATAAATAACCAAAATCTATTCTATAACAGCACAATGGACAGGTTTTTGTAGTTTGTGTTCATTAAACTAGAATCTGAACTTCAGTGATCAGTAAAAATAACCACAGACCTGAATCTGTTTTACTATGGTGGCCCTGAGAGCTTAACACGCTTAAGGAAACAGACAAAACACGAACAAATTCAGAAAACATCTTAATCAATTTGACAACACATGCTCTGCAAATACTCACAACACAACCAAATAGACAAATGTGCTGCAAGTAGTACAGACGCCAGTCACCTTCAACTGTCACCTTCAGAACCATTTCAGGACTTACAATGAGAAGTTTGGTTCTTGTAACTTAACTTGTTCATCCCTACTGCTTACTCTAGTCAGGATGTGGTTAGTCTAGCTTAGCATAAGATAGGGTTATATGGGGGATAGGGTTGCCACCCTTACCATATAATACAGAATCGTCCCATATATACAGGATTGTCCCGTATTTTTGTACATGTCATTTCATTTATAATATATGCAATCAAACTAGAACATAGCACTAATTATAGTACAGTAAATTCATACTATATACAGTATATATGTACATACACTCACCGGCCATTTTACTAGGTATACCTGTTCAACTAGTGTGTGAACCGGTCAGTCAAGTTGGCCCACCATGTTTTACTTAACAACAATGAATGAACACACAGTATCAAGGAAGCCTGTTTTTCCGTTGTTGTCGATTTTCTTCTGTCTCCAGAAAAAACTACCCTCTCACTCTATTTATTTCCTACAACAGAACACAACAAAGAAATGAGACCCAAAGACACCCAGAAGGCTCTGGTGAAGAACCTGGTCAAGCACACAGGGAGACGTCCAGGAAAAGCCCGGGACTTTGAGGAGGGGGTGAAACGGTGTCCGCAGCTAATGAGTATGCATCACATCTATATCCAGACCCGCGAGGAGAAACGCCTCCACTTGACCATCGGTGGCCACGCCTACCTCCTACCAAATACCTCTTTGGTCATCAAATGCCCCGTCAGAAGGTTCCCCAAAGCCCACATCCACTGGCTCAAAGACGGACGCCCCATTCCCAGCTCCAAACGCCTGGGCATCAGCAAATCTGGCTCTCTAAAGATCCACTTTGTGGCAGCAGAGGACATTGGGGTGTACAAGTGTGTCGCTGGATCCGCCTCAGATATCTTCACCCTCCAGCTGATAGGTAGTGACGGCGGGTCAACTGATAGACTGTCTACTACCAGTCCTGGTCCCAACTGGGAGGAGATGCTGCCTAGTTGTCACAGTCACTTCTCAGGTCTGAGGTCGATCTGGCCTGAAGTTAGTGTGTCTCTGTTGCCCCCTGGTGTCCAGGAGGCCTCACTGCAGCCACGGTTGAAGGAGAGGCTGATTAATATCACCCTGCAGGCTGACAGAGGAGAGATCCAGCAGGAGCAAGCCTCAGAGCTCATTTCTTCACTGCTGAGCCACATGTCTGCTGCCCAGCTCTGGACCCAGATTACAGAGGAAGGAGTTTATGCTGAAGGTAATTCTAAACCCAGCTCTGCAGTGTGTGGCTGTGGTGAAATACCATGAGATGCTATTCTTATTCTTTTTTACACCACCACGTCTGTGTCTTCCATCTAATTAATGTATACAGTGATGAATGTTTATGTCATCAACTGCAAATTCATGTCAGGACAGAAACATTTCAGAAACTGGATTTTAGAATACGTGATGAAATTTAACAGTGATAGAATTCTGTTTTTAAAACTGTCATCCAGTTTTAAAGTGTAGGTTAGTCTCTTCAGCCCCACTGTCCCACCTGCAATGGCACAAACATGCTGTGCAGCCAAGACCAGTTCAAACCCAAATAATTGAATATAAATTCTAGTGGAGTTTATAAAGACATCAAATCTGTTATTTACAGGTAAAAGGATAACTTTTAATAAAAGGATAATGTCCAGAATACTGGTCTAATTTCAGTCCTATCACTCTTGTTCCTTATGTGATGTTTGTATGTGATATTTCTCACAGACAAACTACACAACTGGTCAGAGCACTCTTCATTGGACATGGTTGTGAACAGAGCAGTGATCATCAGACAGCAGCAGACCCTTCCACTGGCTTTTCAGAGGAACATCAATATCAGCATCGGACACAACGCCCTCATAACCAACGCCACCCGGTCACTGACCATCCTCTGTCCTGCAGAGGGCTTCCCGTCCCCAAAAATCAGCTGGACCAAAGATGGAACTGTACTGCAGCACAGTGACAGGTAACATACGGGAGATAGTGCTGACTAGTTAAAGAAGTATTTCACAAAGTTCTGGGACCGTGCAAACTTTATTGAGGTACTTTCAACATGATATCATATCCCAAAAAGGTCTAGACAGCAAAAATACTATTAGTGAACTCAAAATCAAAACAATATGCAGTATATGGAATGAACGCATGGTTGAATGAACTTGGGCACCTACAGTATATTGGTGGATTTGTGTGAAATACCTAAGATGAAACAGCCACTGCATCACTCACATGATGTTGAGAATTTTGCTCTACAATGTCAAAAAGGAAAAATTACATCATCACCCCCCTCATCCCATTTCGGCATTTTCAGCACCCCAGTCATGTTTTAGTATATATTTAAATTTTTCCTTTTTATTTCTCCGTGCCGGTGACAGCCAGAGCCATATTGTTTTCAGGCTGTCTTTGTCGCCTTGACGGAACTTGGTCAAGGGGACCTCACAAAACGCGGTTTGGCCTTGTGAATGTAATAAATCAGTAACGCCTTGAGGGAATTTCTAAAATCTTCACTTGGACTCAAGGACGAACCTATTAGACTTTGGTGGTCAAAGGTCAAGATCAGTGTGACCTCAGAAAACACTTTTTAGCCATTACTCAAGACTTCACAGCAATTATGACAAAATTTCACACAAATGGTTCATATTTTATTTGACCCCGGATAAACAGGGATGTAACCTGAAACTAGTCTGAGTGGAGGAAGCAGACAACCAGAAGGTGGTCATTCTAGTTAATCTATTTTCAAAAATTCAGTTTTCGCTTCGTCATTATGGGAAATGTAGTAGAGATTAATGAGGGAAAAATATGAATTTAAAGAATTTTAGCACAAACAACATAATATGACAAAATGTGATAATAGTCAACACTTTCTGAATGCTCTGTACCCTTTGTGATACGTTTTTCCATTTCTCTTGATCATTTCCGAGATGTGTTTACATCTTGATTTGACATGATATGGAAAGACACACACCTGTCTATATAAGGTCACAGCTGACAATGCAGATCAGAGCAGAAACCATGAGAAGAACAGGGGTCTCCATCATTCTGACATGAAGAAGTCTCGAACAACCAGGACTCTTCTAGAACTGGACCTGGACTGACTGAGACATCAGGGAGAAGGTTCTTGGTGACAGAGCTGATTAAGAACCTGATGGTGACTGAGCTCCAGAGATCCTGTGTGGAGATGGAGAAACTTCCAGAAGGACAACCCTCACTGCAGCTCTCCACTGATCTGGGCTTTATGGCTATATGGCTTTATGCAGTGTCCAGCCTACTCAACCAACCAGCCTATTCAGTTGGCAGAGTTTGATCCCCCATCCGATCATCAGACTTCTCAGGGAGAAGTCAAGGTTGCAATGCTCAGTAAGGATCCTTAGAGCCTATGTTGATGCTACTGCGAGTGTATGGCAGTCCAAACAGCTCTTTGTTTGTTATGATGGCCCCAGACATGGTCACGCTTTTTCCAAGCAGCGCCTGTCCCATTGGGTTGTGGATGTGATTGTTCATACATATAAGGTGAATAATTGCCTTATGCTGTCTGGAGTCAAGTGCCACACACAAGGACCACAACAATGGTCAGGTGAAACCAGTACTTTCACAGGTACTTTGGTGGACCCACCCACAAGAGGTTAAATACCTGGGTCCTACTCCACTTTCTTGGTCAGACTAGTGCAGACTAAGAGAGACCAATACATAAGAACTGATGAAGCCGCTTGGATAAGAGGCGAAACGTCTTCCACAGACAAATACAAGTCCAGTTACCATGGTAACTGATGCTGAACACCTACAATATATCTTTAATCTGATTTATTTATATTTAGAAATATTTAGAAACATTTTTTATTATAATCCTGTGACCATATTGTTTACATTTCCCCTTGCTGAATATCACTTTCTGAAGTCACTATAACCGAATATATCTGCTGGTATCAGCTTTTTTCTTCTCATATCATATTAGTACTTTATTCATGGTTCTGACGATGTTGCTCTTTCAGATGAACACAGTTGTACCTGGACAGGTAAAACCAGGGTTAACTGAGTCAGCTGATATCTATGTTCATAGTACATCTTATTCGCTCATGTCCCATTTTTGAGATGCAGATTGTAAGAGCTGCCACTTTCTCGTGTGGGGGCAGGAAGCTGCATATGGAAACCATCACTACTTTGCTTGTCAATCACACCATGACTGACTGCTGTAGAAAGATTGCTGTAGAAACATGCCCTCTAACAGCCACTGACAGTCTCTCTGCTCTGTGTGCTATCACTGTGTCACAGATTCAAACTGATCTGGGCTGACCATGGTTTGCAAGACTGCTGCTGGCAGGCTGGCCCAGTGTAGTATTACTCTGAAGTACGAGTCAGATGTCACTTGCACTGATCAAGATAGACAGCTAATCATGAGATGAACATAATCATATAACATACATTAAAGCTGGGTTCAGGAATCTATTCCACAAACATATTTTTTATATTTCTATAAATTCTCTTAACATCTTGTGCATACCTGTACATCATATACAATATTTATTCTGTACAGTATAGGGTCAGGAAGACTGTGAAATGGGGTTGAAAACTCCAGAGAAAATTAGTAAGTGGATCATGTGTCAAGACTTTTTGTCACCTTATAGTTCAATTTATTCAATATTAAGTCTTCTTTTTAAAATCTTACAAATTTTTCCAATTAAAATACTCATTGTCTAAAATGAGCAATTTCGTCTGTGAATTTAGACTCCAGCTTTTTCCATGCTCTTGCTCTAAGTCTAATAATTTTGAAATCTAAATATCATTTTCAAAACTTAAAGGAGTTATTTGTAATGATGTCATTAGCAGCTGTTTACTTACCAGTCTAGAGGAAACTTTGTGTGTTCAGGTCTCCAGAGGTAGAAACAAACACCAAACACATGAACCAGAGTCAGATAAAAAGTTCTATATCACTTTCATCTTTGTGTATTCCGTAAATCCATGACATGTTTGGCCTGTCCAGCACAAAGACTAGTCGCATGAGGAAACTGCTCTTTTAGTTCCATCCTTGTAAAAAAAATACACCAACACCTAAATGCTGTCTTATTTACATACTGCAAATTGCCAGCTTGCTAGTTCTCAACAATACATCCAATACAAGTCGCTTGGGTGTTGTATTTTGTTTTGCAGTTGTAATGTAAAATTATTTTTTTCACTTTTGATGGAGCTAGCCTCAGTTTCTTGTGCTCTGGTGCTCTGCTGGCCAACACACGTCTTGGACTTATTTGCACTGGACCCACTGAGATTAAACTGGTATTGATCTTCTGATTTGATGGTGAGTAAGATGGAAAACAAACATATTTTCCAAAATGCCAGACTGCTCTTTTAATCTGACCACAAGAGAGAGAATGTACTAGTGAGACAGACACATGATGGTTATTTACAGGACCTGTGGGCTGTGGAGTAAAACACTATGTTCTGCAATTGCCCTTGACACCACTTTGTCAGCAGTGTAGCTGTGGAGTGAACTGAGTGTGTTAACTGGCTTTCTGCAACACACTGTGGTTAGTTTGACCTTTTAAAAGAAGTTTTATCAGATTTAGTGGGATGTGTTCTTTTTATTCAAGGACAAAACACATCAGTATTATGATGGTGGTAGTGTTCCTATGAATGCCAGAATAATTATGAAGGGGAGTTTGCAGTTGGGTATCTAATGGATTACATTGACTGAATATCTGCTCTATGGGTGCGTGTCCCAGCAAAAACAGACAGAGGAAAAACCTGTTGATGTCATATTCACAAATATATTGGTGAGGACATGTCCCTACTGTCCATACCCAAATCTATGCCCGTGTTTAAAAGACATCATCTAGCAGAGAGCTGAGGTCTTCATGGTCAACTGTTAATGCAGGAAGCTGCAGAATGAGAACAATGGCATAATCATCTGTCTTCTTTCTCTGTCTCTTAATTTGCAGCTCAACGTTGAAGGTCATGCCCTATCCCTGTACAGAGTCATTTCCTCTGTTCAGGCTGTGTCTGTCAGAAAGCAAACGTGAGCAGCTTCCTAGGTTCTAATCTATATGATAAACTGTATAATTTCCCTGTCTGTCTGCAGGGTATCATGGTATGGCTCTGGAGGACTTCACATCCTTCAGCCCAGAGCATCTGACGGAGGCCAGTACAAATGCACAGCTGCCAACATGCATGGTTCTGACTCAGAGACATCTCAGCTACTGTTGGCAGGTTTGTCCTTAGATAAACTGTTCTCAAGTTTCAGTTGTCATTGTCATGCACATTGTAAGTTATGAATGTAACTATGGATCTGTGAGACTGAAGGATGACTGTCTCTCCGTTCTAAATAGAATGATAACCTTAATTCTGCCTACTTTTTAGACCATATGCAAACAAAATCATACCCGTTTCGCAGAGCAGAGAGCCAAAAGTATAGCTGTCTTGAGAGATAGAGCTTTCATGTCGGCATCATCAATAGGCTCACATGGGGCCTTCATGAGAGACTTCAATACCATAGGCAAGTCCCAGCTTGGTGCTCGCAGGCTACGGCCTGGACAAAAGCGCTGAGCGCCCTTCAGACACACTAAAGGAAGCCGACCCAATGGCAGGCCATTGGTCTCTCCATGAAATGCTGAAATGGCATGAGCATAAAGCCTAACTGTACTGGCTGCCTTGCCTTGGTCCAACTGAGACTGCAGAAAGCAAAGGACAAGTGGCACAGGACAAACTTCAGGGTCAACATCCAGGCCCAAATACCACTTCGAAAATATTCTCCACCTCAGGGAGTAATTAGCCCGTGTAGATGGGGCCCTGGCATTGTTCAACGTCTCACGGACATCCTCGTCAGGCTGTTGAGAGACGGATTTGCAAGAGGCCATATCCACAGACGAAGGGCAGTTGGGTTGGGATGCTAAATTTTGCCTCATACTGGTGACAGAAGATCCGCTCGGGATGGCACATTCCACAGGGGACCCTTTAATAGCTGAATCAGGTCCAGAAACCAAGGGTGCCCTGGCCAGCGTGGAACTGTATAATGAGCCTCCCTGACCCTCTGGAGAACTTGAGGAATTAGAGGGAGAGGGGGAAAAGTGTACAACAAGTTTTTGGCCACTCTTGTGACAAAGCATCAATGCTCAAACTGCCCCGTGACCCCTCAGGGAGTACCATTCCAGGCAATGGGTCGTCTATGGGGATGCAAAAAGATCGACCTGGGCCACCCCAATTTGTGCCACTACCTCTGGGTGTAACCGCCACTCTCCTGGGAGAGGCCCTATCCTGGACAAATGTTGGCTGCCTTGTTTTTGACACCTGGGATATGGATTGCCCTTAGAGAGGCTAGGTGAGGCCATTCCCATGTCAGTAGCTTTTCTGCTACTTGAAGACAGCGCAGTGACTTCGTTCCACCTTGATGATTTATATGGTACACTTCAGAGGTGTTGTCCATCCTCACCAGTACATGCTTGTGCTTCACATATGGCAAAAAACCCTTGAGGGCCAGATGAACGGCCCTCAGTTCAAGTATATGTATGTGTTCTGATGACCACCACAGCTCCCAGCCTGTCAGTGATGCATCTGTTTTGATCACTTGTCTTCTTTGAGGAAGGTTCCCCAGTGGGGTTCCACTGAAAAGGAAATCTCTGTCTCTCCAGGGGAGTAAGGTTTGCATGCAGTACTGCATCAAATGTAGCCTCATCCTCCTGGGTTTTCTTCAGATGGAGGAGAAAAGAATTGAACCACCGCTACATGGGACGTGCCCTCAGCAGGCCCAACAGAATCAGCACTGATGCTGCTGCCATCAATCCCATCAGTTTCTGAACACTGTGAGCACTCACTGTCTTCCCTAGTTGAAACAACTTAATGCTGTCCTCAAACTGTCTACCCTCTGGGGAGTGAAATGTGCATTAATTCTGACAGAACTGAAGTGGAGACCAATAGCTCACCTGTTGTTGATGCTGCAGCTTGCTTTTCTTCCAGTTCACTGTGAACCCCAGGGACTCAACATAAACCCACATTGTCTCTGTGTCTGGACCACCTGCTCTAGGGAGGGAGCACAGATTAACGTCATCTAGATATGGCAGCATCTTGAGGCCCTTTACCTGAAGGGGGTCTAGGCCAGCCGACACGACCTGAGTAAAGATCCTCGATGCCACTGACAGGCCGAATGGCAGAACCTGAAACTGGAAAACTTGGCCTAATCTCATCAGTTCAGTTCTTATGGCATCCGGCAAAGAAGTCTGTGCCAGCCATATTTGTCTCCGACACAAGAACACCGATGACATTGCCTCTCCTATGTCATGTGTCAATTGCGAGTGAGCTGACAAGAGAGAGCCTTGGAATCCTGATCCTCTGTGCTCATCGTTTTCCACAAGGCTGCCAGGATGATAGCCTATGCATTGCCCATACGAGCCGCAGGAGCAGCTGCGTTAAACAAGCATGAAATCAGGCGGTTGATCTTAGCACACTCCATCCTGGGGCAGCGAGGATTAGTTAAAACACGGGCTGGCCCCAGAGATGTCCATGATGCTATTGCCTGTTCTACCAGGGGCATGTCTCCTAATCCAGTTTCCACTGGGTAAGGGGCATTAGCCAACTGCCTGCAGCCTGCATTAAACTGAGGTTTTTGAGATGATTTCTTGCAAGCTGTCCCTAGCATCAAAGCATAATCATCTGCCACTGGAATGCTGGGTGGGGGATTGGCCTGAGCTATGCCTTCCCAGACAGCTCCCCCAGGGACAGGATTAGGCATGGGAGAATGCAATCGAACAATTTTTGCTGCACTGAGTACTCTGGCAACGAGTGTGAGGAATGAAAAGAGACAGCACATCAGCATCCTCTGTGGCATCCTCCCCAGTATGGCACTGAGGCCTGGGTGGGGGAACTCCTTCTTGGTGTGTGTGTGTGTGTGTGTGTGTGTGTGGGGGGGGGGGGGGGGGGGGAGGGCAGGAATGAAGATGAGGATGAATGATGAGCCTCAAGTTTGTCCATCTAAATTCCGAAGAGCAGTCAGAATCTTCAGCATGTCTGAACTGTCTCCCTCTGCTGGCTGAGCAGGGGCTTGGCGCTTAGTAGACCCAGAAACCTCCTCATGGCTTGATCTATGAGGGGAATCGTGATGGCAGTCCCGCTTGCGAGAGCGCCTATGAGTTGGCCTGTCTGGAAGAGTGTCGCCTTCTCAGGTGCAGAGCTGCAAACTCTGGTAGCACAGGGAAGTAGCTCCTCCCTTGACAGGTCACAAGCTGCACTGCATGGATTATCCACATCCTCCCTCAGATGAGAAATCCGAGAGGCATTCCCGATGCCCATCACGAGGATCCATCGCTGACTGACAAAATCGTCAGCAATGTGATACCATAATGGCCCTGGCAAAACAGGATGAGGCCCCAACACATCTCCACTGACTGCAAACAGCAGTAAGAATAAGAAGAAAGAAGAAAATCAAGCCCACACAAAGAGATGGTTCACACCAGTACGCGAACGTACCTAGCAGGCCCACACTAACCCCACCAACTGCGAATAGTGATGTAGGGCACATTACTCATCAAATTGCAATAAAGCAAATCACCACTATGCAATATATGCAAGGAAACTACCAAAATTCACAGGGACACAAGGCACCTGCACCCTATGTGTGATGAATTGAATGGTGGATAACAAAGCAACTCAATGTCTCACCTGTAAATGGTCTCTGAGGCCAAAGGACTAACTGGAAGTTAGCACTGCTTTTATGGTGTGGGAAGTTTTGCGCCCAGGTCATGGGTATGACTTTGTTTACATATGGTCTCGAAAGCAGGCAGATTGAAGGTTATCAATCTATTTAGACTGTAGTGACAGTCAGAGTGAGGTTGAAACAGATCTTCTATTATAATTTAATATTGCTGTCACCAAAATACACAGACTCCTAGAGATGTTCATGTGATGGCTGTCACAGAGGCAGGAAGTAAAACAATGAATTACAAAATAAAAGCTGTCATTCTCTCCCTGTATATGCCTCATGTATATGAAAACATGTTTTGATGTCAATCAGCCTGATGAAGATAGTTTGTCCAGCTCCTGCCCTGAACTGCTGACAGAGCAACTGCTTCTGATGACAGCAGTGAGAGAGTCAATGTGGATTAAACAGGCCAACAGTTCAGTGGCACTTTCACTTTCTTTGTGAGGTTGTCCTGCTTGGTACCAAATATTATAGAATATATTAGAATATATTAGTACAGTAAGTCAATGAATTCATAAAAGCAGGTATAATGTTCAATGTCTTATTTTAGCATCTTATCATGATAAAACTCATTAATAAGAACTAAACTTAAGCACAAACTGTCATTACCTTTTAGGTAACTGGTAAAACCAAAGTATTGGTCAAATTAAAAATTTTGACCTGATGATGAGGCTGGGTGAAAAGTTAGAAGATCACCACAGTGACGAGGATTCATCCTCTGATGACCATGAATATGTTTCATGTCAGTTTGAGACTGACTGACGTTGATCTTCCAGTGTTTCCTTGTATATTCATTCTAACAAGGATTAGCATCAGTAACGTTCACCTTCATTCCTGCATGACTGACTGATTCTCTCTCTGTGTGTGTGTCAACCTTCAGAGCCACCGGCCATAGCAGTGTCATGGGGGAATTTCTCAGACCATGGGGCGGTGTTGGGCCACAGCTTGATGGCCACTGTTGGAGGACGAGTCAGTGTACGCCTAGGCACCAACCTCACTCTGCACTGCCCCGTCACTGGTAGGTCATCACACGGTATCATGTACTCTGCTGCTGGAGAGGCTGCAGGATTGCAGGGAGGAAACACACAAGTCATATCAGTCAAAGAAAGCCTGGACACGGAGGCTGGTCACTGACTGAATGTTATCACACACCTTAATGATGTGAGTCTCAAGTTCATTCTGTTTATCCTATTCTCCATTTCTTCCCTGAAAACTTAAAACTTAAAGCAACACCTGTCAACATGTTGACCTCTTTACGTCGGACCACACTATCTTCCAACTGGGCCTTCATCTTGATCTCCACTACAAACCTGTAAAGTGTTGTGACTGCTTCTTGCAGGTTGTGATAAACTCTGCCCACAGATAGACAGGCATATAAACCCCTGCCAAAGTGCTCAAAACCACTTCTGTGGTAGTTACTGCTATAGTTAGTGACTACATTTTGTCATGATGACACACACAGACAAACACACAGTGACTGTTGAGTGCCTATTCATGCATATGCGTATGCGTGCTTGCTTATGCTTGCGTTCTTTCACCATAGAAAGGCTTTGTGTCCACACTGCCCGCCACTGCTACAGGAAGCCCAGAATAAAGGCCAATTTCTCCCTAGGAGGCCAAATGGCAGGTGCTCAAGCATCCTTTGAGCTCCATCTCTGCACGTATACACCGTAATGATATTACTGTACTTTGTAATTCTTAATAGGTACTTAATACTTTAAAAATACTTCATGTAATTTATTTTTAAATTGCCCCTTTACTCCCTAAACATTTGTCTTGCCCACTGACATAGTAAGTACAGGGAAGAACTAAGAAAGTCGAGTATCAGTATAGGTACCCAGTAAGTGTTTTATTGATACACAATAGACACTACATATAAAATAATTGAATTGTAAATTATAATCTCAAGTGTTTCCCAGCCTTTATCATTGGTCCCTCTGGTCTCTGTGTGTCAGGTGTTCCTCAGCCCACTGTGACGTGGCACAGGAAGAATGGACCTTTAGATTCCAGTGTTGTCTCCCTTCCCTCTGGTTCACTGTGGATCACAAATGTTTCTCTGCACAGCCAAGGCACCTACTCCTGCACTGCCACCAACACCATAGGAAAGTCCACTGCCTCTACGCTCCTGCAGGTCTACGGTGGGTTCACACACTAACTGTACATAACTTCTCCTCATATACAACTTTGTACAATCATACTTGCACATGGTCAGATAATAAAATCTGGAATAACATTATGGGTGTGTCCACTTTTTTGTATGTGTGTGTGTGTGTGTGTGTGTGTGTGTGTGTGTGTGTGTGTGCACAGCTCCATATCCAGCTGGAGGAGGCAGGGTTGTTCCAGTCTCACAAGAGCTGAATAGGAAACGGGTCCTCATGGCATCAACCCATGGAACACATGTTTTTATCAAACCTGGAGACATTCTACGAATAGGTACACGCACAAACCTTTTCACCTGCAGTAATTCTACTCAGCCCCATGCAGACAGACTGTTATGTGTAAAAGCAGTCCACCTTCAAGCATTTTCATATGTACATTCAGTCTGTTTGTGTCTTTAAAAAGGTTGTCCAGTAGTTCCTGACCACATACTGCCAGTGCGCTGGGACTACAACAACCAGACCCTGAAGGGGGTCTCACGTTCAGCCCAGACCCAGAGTCCTGGTCCGGGTCTGCAGTACAGGATGCTGGTGGGGGGTCGTGTCCTTGAGGTCAACACACTCCAGGTGAAGTTCTCAGGCCGCTACCAGTGCCAGGCCCTCATCAACAGTATGAGACAAATGCTGTATGCCTGGATACAAATTCACACTAAAGGTGAGAGTTAAGTTGACCTGCATGCACGTGTGGAGTGTGTTTATATAGACCTGTGCAGATACCAGGTTTTTTTTTATGAAAGAATACTGAATAAATGTTACCATCATATGAAATACATATGATAGTTTATGCAGCGTACAATGATGCAGTGTGAAAAAATAAAAGTTTCTAGTCCACTAGTAGGTGGACCTTTGATGGACCCTATATAAGTACTATGCTACACAGACTGTTCCCAAAGCTTAAATTTAAATGAAAATTGTTTATTTGGGAAATATGTTTTTAATTTCATAGTTTTGTCCATGCTGAGCTCACCATACATAAGATTACATTTTTTTGTCTTGACATTACATTTATTTATTTAGAATTTTTTACATTTGAGCATAAGCCCCTTTATACCTTGTTTTCAACAGGTCTTCAGACACGAACACATAGAAATGTATAGGCAGTGAAGCAAAAATAAAATAATATAAAATGATAATAATCAGCAGAAACAGTATCATAACATCAACACAACTACACCACATCTGTTAGAAGTATCATGCAACATCAAAAAACTAACAAGATATAAAGTAAATTAACAGCTACCAGACCAAATGAAATGATGTGATGTTAATAGTACTGAGCCTACAGTCACTACTTACAGTCACAAATATAAAAAATACATTCAAAAACAAAAAGAACATTTGAGGTAAGCAGGAAAAGAAGAGTGAAAGTCATTAAAAGAAGTCATATCTGATAGTGAGTCAGTGGTGCGTTAAATGTAAAGACACAGCTCCAAATGTCTGTGTGGGTGGCAAGGCTGTTGAGTGTGTGAGTACAATGATCAAACTGTACCAAAAGCTGTTTTAAATATTAAGTTAAAGTACTTATTTAAAGTAAATGCAGAGTTAAATAGTAATCACTTGGCTGTACGGTGCATAAGTAAGATAAGTAAGAACATATCTCTATATACGTATGTCCATGATCTTGTGTTTTATCAGTGTTTGGTGAAATTTGGCTCAATCCCAGGGCAGGTTAATCGTAAGATTCATCCCCATTTCCTTTCAAATGTCACATTAATCATTTAGGAGGTATAGGCTATCCTAAAACATAAACTGTGAACTGGCGAAGCTACATGAGTAGACAGTGTTGTTGTCAGTTACAGTGAATTCCAACTGCACTGTAAAACAACCAATTAAAATAATGTTTGAATTTACATATGAGTTGATTTAAAATTGAAAACAACACATATACACTACTCACTACTATAGGCTTTATGGTCACTCAGACAGTTTGAGAAACACTAAATTTAAACCATTATATTAACAAATTTACTCTGGGACCACCAGGGATCACTTGCAGACCACTTGTGGTCTACCAACCATACTTTGATAAAGGCTGCTTTAAACCAATCACAATTATCTTGAGCAGCGTCAAGCCCAGGATACAGTGATGGTTCCTCTTCAAAATAGCACAACTTGGTGGATCATTTGTTCATGGGGAGGCAAGCACTGTCATTAAATGGCTGATTATCCACAAAGAAAACAGCACAAAGGTATGTCAACTGTGTGATTGCACCAAAACTTTCAGCGTGTAGGTTGTTGTTGTTTCCTACAACAAAGGAAACATTACTGGCAGGTGAAGCAGAAAGGGAGGAGATTGCTGCCTATAATAGGTGATCAATGGCAGGCTCATACCTACACTGAAGAACGCATGTTTTTCAGCTAAAATGGCCTCCGACAAAGAAATAAGATAAGACTAGGTCAGCGGACTGGCCATGGGGACTGCCAGCTCAAATTCCAGTCAGCCAGTGGATGGTCAAAACATCAATAAACTTTTATAAGTTTTTACTGGCTCTGTTAGTGCCTTATCAGCTCTGTCAGTGTCATTTCTGTGGCCGGTCCCAGCAGATAAGTCCAAGGCTGAATTTTTTTCCCAGTCCGGCCGTGGATCGGAGCAAATACAAGTCTGACTTTATCAAGATGGAGAGCCCTACAAACTGCTAAAGGGTCCAACTTGAACTTCTCCTCCATGTATCAATAACGTGATGGTTTATAATGTTATATGACTGTTTTTATTAGTGACCAGCTGTAGACATGATAATTTTAGCTAACTTTCTGTTACCATTATTATGAATTTGTTAGGCAAATGTTGCTATTGCTAGCTGGCTTAATGTCAGTACGCTTATTTGTCCCCCATCTTGCCAGACAGCTGAATCAACCCCTGAGAGATGTGAGGAATTTCTTAGCTACTTCTACATTAAAATAGTCAATATTAGACAGCGCTTTGACACTGAACTTGTGGAGCCTGATGTTGACTACTGCCCACCTTTCTCACTAACACACTTTAGCACAATCTGTCTACCAACCCTGGAATGCAATGTTAAACTTTTAGAATCATCTACCAGCCTTTCAGACTGCATTCCTACATGGTTTTTAAAAGCTGTATTTGAGATGGTTGGTCCAGACATTTTAGTCATTATCAACTGCTCTGTGTGGACTAGTATTTTCCCCTTCATTTGCAACTGCAACTGTTTCCCCTCTTTTAAATAAGCCCTCACTAAACGTCTCAGTTTTAAGTAATTTCATACCCATCTTGAAGCCACCATTTTTATCAAAGATTTTAGAAAAGATTGTATCTACGCATCATTTCTTTTATGAATAATAATGAAATCTTTGAGAAATTTCAGTCTGATTTCCGTGCCCTCCACAGTACTGAGACTGCTCTGGTCCAGTCACCAATGACTTGCTGCTTGCAGCCGACAATGGCCTGTACTCAGTTTTAACTCTCCTCAACTTTAGCTCAGCTTTTGACACAGTCGACCACAATGTCTCTATCAGCCATTTGAAAAACTGTGTTGGTATCAGTGATGAGGTGCTGGATTGGTTCATATCTTATCTGTCGAACAGGTCCTTCTCTGTTATGCTTGGAGATGCCTCCTATTCTTGTGCTCCTCTGTTTTGTGGGGTCCCCCAGGGGCCTATTATGGTGCCCTCCTTGTTTACAATTTACATGCTACCACTGGGGCAAATCATGAGTAGACACAATATTAATTTTAACTGCTATGTGGATGACACAGTTGTATTTCTCAATAAAGCCTGGTTCCAAGGAGGCATCCTGCATCTTGTCCTGCCTTGCAGATATTAAAATATGGATGTCCAATAATTTCTTGCAACTGAAGGACTCCAAGTCAGAGGTGATTCTCATTAGCCCTTCAGGCCCCAGCACAAGCAGCATCAATAATATCCTCGGTAGTCCAAGGACCTTGTCTAGTAACATTTGACAAGAGGCTCACAACCTAGGTGTTATTTCTGATCTGCCTTTTGATGCTCAATTCGCCAGAGTAGTGCAGTCCTGATTTGCTCAGCTGAGGCAGCGTGCCAAAATCAGATCATTCCATTTGAAGGGTGGTCATGATATTTGGTTCAGACACTCATGTTCTCCACCGGATTATCTGAAATAAATTTGGTCACCCTGTTACTTTTAGCACAATCATCAGGTTAAAGTTTAACTTTTTTATTCAGTTTATATATATATTTGTGTAATTTAGCAAGGCAAAGGAAAAATGCTAATAACAATTAGTTCCAGCCTGTATTTTCAAGGTAAAATATCTTTGAGTTTGAGCAAATAAAAAAAAAAAAAAAAAAACAACAGAAATGAATTGGATGATTTAAACTCAATTTGCCTTCTGCACCAATCTCAAATATTCTACATAATCAACACACATAAATACGTTCTTCAGAGATTTAATACATTCAGGTATTTCCATCAGCATCATATGGATGTAAGTGCCGGTCTTATTAAGAGATGGATGGATGAATGAATGGACGGATAAATATAGTGATTTCCATGAGTATGTCATGTTGAACTGTTCCACAGAGTAACTCAGTGCATGACTGTATTCAGGTTTACTATTATGCATTATATAGTGCCTCTGTCTGCTGCCTCCCCTTTGCCTCAGGCAGTCTGTTGCCTCTACGTCGGGCATTTCAAAATCTGAAATTAAAAAGTGAGAATCTCTGCAGAACACTCACGTACACTGAGATTAGCAAATCTTTGGATGGCAATTAGAGCTGTTTGTTCTAAAGTCTGTTTTTTGTTGGTTGTGTTTTACATGTGGGTCCACAGAGTTTGGCTGGCGTTTTGGGGATTGGATCACATGCAGTGCTTCCTGTGGGAACAGAGGGACTTGGCTGCGGAGGATTCACTGTGCCACTCTGGATGGAAAGGACGTTCAGCCCACCATGTGTCAGCACATACCAAAACCCATCACCTCCCCAGTTCCCTGCAACAGACAGGACTGCCCTCCCAGGTACACTGTACATATCTACACATGTAGATGTCAGGATGTCCTGCTGTTCAGGAAGCAGATTGTCCAATTGGCTCATATAAGGAGCCAGAGGGAGAGTAAGAAATGATCAAGATAAAATAAATAAAGAAACAATGGAGTGGTATGCCTATGAAGAGACAGAATAGCCTGCCATGCTGTCAGTGGAATATTTTCACTGATGTTCAGGCGAATACGTTTTTGTGGCCTGTTGGTATTTTGCAGTTTGAGTTTTGCCTCTTTCACTTTGATATATTTTGAAGGAAAACCACAATTTATTGCAACTTGTGTTTTATTTATGTAAGTCTGGCCTTTGGTTCTATTAACTAAGAAGGTAATAAATGAGATTAATGAACTTGGCATCACCTCTGATAATAGGTCCAACAGGTTTGTATCAACTCAAGTTGTTTGATAAAAACTTCAAGGTTAGTCAGACCTTATCCAGACTATTTAAGCATCTGTCAGATCCATCATTGTTCACTGACCGACTGTCTGTCGTGCTGTGGCAAATGTATCCCTGTACAATCAGGGATTATGAGAGCATTCACTGTAAGTTTTTAGCTGCAAACAAAGTGGCACCTTATCTGGCAAAACTGTCTCTTACAACATGTCTGATCATGTGACAATTAACCTCTCTTAACACATAGTATCTATTTTTTGTAATACTTTTGAGTTCCCAGATCTCAACAATGACTTTTGTGAGGACTATATTATCTTAATGGACAAAAGCATGGTGGTATTATTCTGCCCATGTATATGTTCATTGAGTAAATACACATATGAAACACACATTATTTGGGGTATTAATATTTGTGATGCTGCAATCTGGCCAATGGTGCCACCTAGGCTAAAACCAGCATGTATACAGTATATGTGCACTGTGGCTCTTCAGCAACTTCAGTCATATTACTTCCTTGGTGAAGCTTCTACAAATTCCTTTCGATTACAAGGCCAGAAGGTCTCCATGGAAATGCAGAACAGAAGTTTCTAATGGACAACACGTTTTATATTGACAGGATATTCAGAAACATGCGATCAAACGAATTGCATTACATGACTGATTGATATTTAATTTCTTTCTTTTTTTTTTAAGTTATTTTTTGGGCTTTTTGTGCCTTTAATGGACAGGACAGTAGAGAGACAGGAAAATGGGGAGGCAGAGAGAGGGGGAATGACACGCAGGAAAGGGCCGTCCGATGCGGGGGTCGAACTGGGGGCCAGCTTCAGCGAGGACTGTAGCCTCTATATATGGGGCGCCTGCGTAAACCACTGCGTTACGTGACGCCCCGATATTTATTTTCTAGTGTAAATGTGCATATCCAGTGCAGATTCTTTCACACACTGACTTTGATGAGGGAGAAACACAAGGAGGGTAGCCTGCTAATGAATTCATGAAGAGTAGCCAGATCCCAGAAGAAGCGTAACTCAGCAGAATCCCTTCACCCTCAGCCCCCTGCTGTTTCCAGCTCTGCCAACTGGCCTTTACCCATCATATAGTCCATTAATCAGCTCCCCACCTTGCTACCACACACTAAACCAGCTTCACTCTCTAATGTAACACAAATGACCTCCTATTAGCTCAAAGCCAGGGCTGTGGCATTGTAGGCTGAAAGACATCATAGACATTGAAACCTTTTGAGAGGAAGTTATTTCCATATTAAGATAAGGCAGGCAATGGCAGACTGCCAGTGAGGGAGTGTTATAAAAATTATATCTCATACTTTTGTGTGGTTTAGTAAAATACAAGTTACATACAGTATATAACCAGTGTTGGCTTCTTTCCTTACTAAATCACATGGACATAAACACAGCATTATCATATACAAAGAACTAAAATGTAACTGGTTTTCCCAATATCATAAATAAATGATTTGCATGGCCAGCTACAAGTAAAAAGATATTTTTTGGCAAATGCTTAAAGGATAATCCAGTGGATAAGCAGTGGTTAGCAATGTCGCCTTACAGCGAGAAGGTTCTGGGTTCGAACCCTGAGCCTGGGGCCTTTCTATATGGAGTTTGCATGTTTTCTCTCTGCTGTTCACTTGCCAGTCTTGCCAAGAGCTTCAGCCATTGTTGCTTTTACAGCTTTTACTGTTTGTCCCGTATTTTCGTTCATGTTTTGTCCTCAAAGTGCTGTGAATAATGTAATGTCAAGTAATAATTTTTCATAATCTTCAAAACGTGGCTTATGTCACAAAACTTACAAATAGCTCCTTTAACATTGTACTTACCAAAGTTATTGCTGAGATCTGGGAACAAAGCAACATTAGTGCAATGAAATCAGACAGGTCATAAACAAGCCATGGTACTGCAATTCAGATGATCTAAACTACTTTATTTGGCAGTAAAAATGAAAGTGAGCAAACCTCAAATGTTGGTAATAATCACTTATTGCACAGCAAGACTGTAAGCACAGCTACGGCAGTAGGATGGGTGAGAGTTGAAGCAGGGGTCTGTGTGAGATGTGTGTGACGAGTGATGTGTATATCAGACACATTAAGTAATAATTTTACCGTTTGGCTAATCTAGAGGTTTATTTATAAGCTGTCTGATCATCTGATGTGATGATTGACAGATTCATGTTTAATGCATATGCATTATATCTTACAAAGCAATGCATACACAGTTATCCCCTATTGTGAATTTCTGTATTTGTTATTTGATGTCAACATATCAGATGGCTGGTATCAGAGTGGTCAAAGTGTTCAGCCTCATGTGGTAGTGGCTGGAAACAGAGGCAGGTCTCCTGTCAGCAGCTGGACGCCAGAGGTGAAGTGAGGACCCAGCCAGCAGCTGCCTGTGAGAGTATAAGGCAGCCCACAGACACAGAGCCGTGCACTGCCAATAACTGTCCCACCTGGGTCACCAGTCCATGGGGAAAGGTACATTCAAACACAGAAATTAACATGTGAGTGTTACACGCTGTTGAAAATGAAATGTATTAAGTGTAAATTCTGTTCCCCAATTTCAGTGTTCAGGGAGGTGTTTAGGACCCACCACCACTGTTCAGAAGAGATCTGTCATCTGCCAACATGCCAATGGCTCCTCATACACAGACTGTGATCTCAGGGACAGGTACACACACTCAAATGCAACTCACTGTATACATCACAGTACTCTCTATGTTCTCACAAAGCTGGTTGTTAAATGGCTCCATTTACTCCATTTACAGCTAAGGTTTACTATCTGAGCTGTGAGTGCATTCACATGAGAGGATGGGGTTTACATCACATGTAACATCAACATGTTAGATAATGTATAATATTACAGTTTTTCATGATTGCTTACACACAAAAATCAAAAATGCACAGATTTTGAAACTCGATACTCAAGGAGGAAAATGTCAGCCCAGACTTGTACAACTATATGCACATTCTCGGCCTCACACTTTTTGCAAAACACTACACACAGTGTTTTGCAAGACACCAAACTAACTTCTGTACATTAGACACATCATTCAAAACTGAAAGCCTTTGTATGTTCATTGCTAAACATTGCCACTGAAACACCATGCTCAGGTAGCAATCACCTGAACTCAGGATGCACATGTGAAGACACATGTAACCAGTCAGATCACACAGAAATCACAGCTTGATCAACATAAATAGGAGTCAGGTTTGCTCTTTGGTGTGCTCAACAATGGAGGACAATTTTGGAGAAAGAAATAGAGGAAGAGGTGGTTGAGTAAGAGGAGGAAGAGCAAGAGGAGAAGTAGGAAGAGGAGAAGGAGCAAGAGGAGAAATAGGAAGAGGAGAAAGAGGCAGCCCAGAAAGAGGAAGAGGTGAAGGAGGAAGAGGAGCAAGAAGACACAGAGGACAGGGAGTGGCGAGAGGACGGGTGTTTTGTGTTTGTGTGTAAAGTTTGGAAGCTAAAGTGTGGTTTTAGAAGAGTTTGTTTAGTTTTCGATGTAGTGCTTGCTTTTGCGAGAGATATAAGAGGTTTTGTATTTTGTGTATATGGTGTTGGTTTGTGTGTGTGGAGTTTTGACAAACAGGGTCATAGTTTCAGGAACTGTGTTTTTGCAATAGTTAAAAACTGTAAGGGGGCATCGTGTAGCGTAGTGGTCTAAGCAGGCGCCCCATGTGTAGAGGCTACAGTCCTCGCTGCAGTTGGCTCTTGTTCGAGTCCCGCATCGGACGGCCTTTGCTGCATGTCATTCCCCCTCTCTCTGCCTCCCCATTTCCTGTCTCTCTCTACTGCACTATCAATAAAGGCATAAAAAGCCCAAAAAAAACTTGAGCAACCTGTTGGAGACCCCTGAATTAAAGGCTAGGTTTTTCTCAAGTCTCTTAAAAGAGTGCTAACATGCCCATATACACATTGAATCAGGTTTTGATTGCTGTAATTGTTCCTCCTCCTGTCCTCCTCCTTTCCTTATACATATGAGCATGTGAGTATTAGTATTAGACAAACTTGAAAAAATGTGAACGGTTCCTTAAAGACATTGCATCTTGCAAGTTGTGAGGTGAAGCCTCTGCAGATCATCCAGCACATCCCACAATAGTCAGTTGCTGTTGCACGGTTTGTCCGTCTTGGAACACAGTCAGATGGTACATATCACTGCTGATTGGCATTACCCTGACATTTTGGAGCTATGTGGACCCAGTCATCTATCCACATCCACATCCATGTCCCACCTGTATTTCTGGTATGACCAGGAATGAAACCCGATGTGGCTTGGTGTTCTTTCTTTCCATGTCAGGCTGCAGTCAGAGTGATGACTCCATTTTCCCAGTGATCTGATCAATTTGTAGGCAAGCTGTTTTTTTTGTTTTTATCTGACCCTCTGAAATTAACCCATTCCATAGAAGGCTAGCATATACCATGGTGATTTACTATAGTTAAACCTGAATAAATCTGCTGTGTGAAACAGGTCCCTGTGCAAAACAGCTACAGCAATAAATGTGTAACACTGAAGACAAACAACAACAACTCTCTTTCAGGCCTTTTTCAGTACGTAACTGTTCCTCAGACCTCTGTGATGTCCAGTGGCGTCCTGGTGTGTGGCGGGCATGCACCGTAGTCTGTGGGAGTGGCTTTCAGTCACGCAGGGTGGACTGTGTTCACCGCAAGAGTGGCAGGATACTGGCTGACCAGCACTGTGCCTGGCTCCAACGGCCCTCCACCTGGCAGCACTGCAACACCACCACCTGTGGGAGTAAGTGTGTGTGTGACCTTTGTTAAAATCAGCAGGCAGTTTTATCGCTCCTTTACATTTAGAAATCTGACATTATAATCAAGAAACTTTTTTAAAGAAATGATGCAGCACTTAAACAGTTGTATATTTTATTTTATAAGCAGTCATTGAAATTACCTTTTAAATATACCAATTTAAATTCAATACTAATTTTATTTTTAATAAACTTTCTTTACTTTTTGATGTTGTGTTTTGTAGTGTATAGCCGAGTTTCTACCAAAAAGTACCCGGGACTTAAAGTTCTGGGTACTTTTCTTCAGGAACTAAAAGGTTCCTGTGGTCCATTGTTGTCTGCGTTTCCACCACGGCCTAAAGTTTATTTATATGTAAATTCGCAGAGTGACAGAAGAGAGTCGCCAAACACACCGCTAGTCGTTTTTAACAAAGTCGCTGAGGATCAGTAACGTCTCCAGATCAACTCTGAACAACGGAATGAAAAACTTGAAAAATGCTCGAAAAGAAAAAGAAAACTCGAAAAGATGCTTATACTTCAAGATCGCTGATTCGCTCATTTCGCTGTCAATCAAAAAGGGACTCAGCCTCAGACAGATCATCCAATCATCATGCAGAAGCCGAGCGTCCGGGCCAGCCCACTGCCCCATAGACCCCCAGAAACGCTGAGCGTCCGATGGGCGGGACAAAGCCCAGCATTTATCCAATGACCGTCTAGTTTCGCTGCAGTGGAACAACCCACTCTGTGCTTCCCCATTGAAGTCAGTAGACACTCGGCGTCTACACTGTGTAAAGCACTGTGGCGCTGCGGGGATGAATGAGAAGGAAGTCGTGTCATTTACCTGTGATAAGTAGCTGATTCTGAACAAAAGATGAACATGTTCTAGCGCATATTTAGTCAATGAAATGTACACACAACAGCACATATTTGACCACTTATTTTGTTGACATCTTAGGGGAAGCTGAGCTTCCCTTGCAGTCTTAGAGCAATCGCCACTGATGTCAGAGTTTGGCTGAAGATGGCTGGTGAGCGGCATGGCTAGAGATACTGGCAGACAGCGTGGTGTGGCAGTGACCAGGTGGAGCCACGCCTCCAACGGGGACATATGCAAACAAACAAGACAGGGGAGACAGAGACAAGGAAAAGGAAACACCAGGCCAAAATAACATACACAAAGAAAACACAGAAGGAAAAAGAGATCCCAACCCAGACACATGACATCAGTTTCCTTTACAGTTTTTGAGATATTAATGATTTTATGCACTCTTCATTAATACAATGAGTAACTCATTAATTATATGGCCTAGTAATGCTTGACATTTTGAAAACGGAGGCATGTTTCTTATTCATTGTCTATTCCTTCATTCTCTTGAACATGATATCTCAGTAACGCCTTGAGGGAATTTCTTCATCTTTTGCACAAACATTCACTTGGAGTAAAGGATGAACTGATTACAATTTAGTGGTTAAGGGTCAAAGGTAAAGGTCACTGTCACAAATTCATATGACACAGTTCTTCAACTTCTGGTCATATTTCTGTGACCATTTCTTTGACCATATTTTCTGATACTTGGCTGGAAATATGGTGAGATGGGATTCTAGTTATGTTGTGTACTTATCTGCCATGTAAAATTAAAATGTTTGCATCTTGAAAACATGTATAAAGTCTCATTAGTGGAAAAACTTAAGTAAAGTACAATTACCTGATAAAGTAAGTACAGTACTTCAGTAAATGTATTTAATTACCCCCCACCTCCCTGGTTGGTGAAGTGAGCAGTTCATGACAAGGTAGTAGAAGGAAAACCTGACTCAATAACACTCTGTATTTCTTCAGGAAGTGTAGTTACATATCAGATTCTTTCAAGGGAAACTACAGGTCAGATAGTCTTCAATTATTTTTTGTTGACATTTTACGTTGTTCTTAAGTGAATAAATGAGGTGTTTTATTCCCATGCAGGTGAATGCAAGGACACCACCCAGTACTGCAATGTGGTGAAGAGACTAAAGCTGTGCTACCTGGATATGTATAAACAGAGATGCTGTGGGTCATGTTCACAGGATGCTGACTCCACCTAGTGACAGTGAGCAGTTATAACCACAGATGGACACAAGATCAACAACTGAGCAAAGACTGGGAGGACGTCATCTGTGAGTGGATGCTTCGAGAACTGCACATATGTAAACTGGACAAGCTGTAGTCCAGTTCTTTGGCTTCCTAAAAGGAAACTCAACAGCATCTCAAAACGCTGGAAGGATGAGGGGGCTTCATTTTCTGATCTGGATCCAATCCATGTTCACGATGTGGATCAAATGGAAGTTTTGGACTTTCCTGCAAAAACAGAATATTTTGTTGCCAGTGACGTTCTAAAAAGGTGGCCCAGCCACAAAGGAATATAATGCTTATTGTAGAACCTGTATCGCTGCCCTCAAACTTACACTGATGTATTGGTTTGCCCTTTGTTAGCTATGAAATATCAGGCAGTGGTGTAAACCCCAGCTGATATGTAAGATTCATCATTCAACAGCAACACAAAAACAGCCTAGAAAAATTGTAGTCATACATTTCTGTCTTTAAACTGTTCTTTATTTATTTGTATTATTCAAAGGTGTTTTTGTAAAATGATTCATCTGAGATCATTAAAGAGAAATTCTGGGTTATTACAACATCGGTCTAATTGTTATAGTTTTGACCATCTTTTCTACTCAATGAAGTAATTACCGACATCTGGAAACAGCATTACTGATACAACCAAGAGACACAAGAAGTGAGACAATGATCCAGGTTATAATCACTTCAGCCGTGTCATCCAAACTGCTGAAGTTGAAACTGAATAAAAATAAATATCTACTGTTATTACTACTGATTGAATTGATGGCCAAAACTGGAAAACTTGGACCCACAATAGTTTGTGATTGTAATAAACCAAAACCATCCTTTAATCTATCCCTGACTATCCACACCATTAAATGGGTATTGTCTGTCACCTTGCTTTAAAGAGCTGCTAATCCTAATAGATTTTCTTCAGTGTGGGTCCAGAGTCCCATGATGCTGTTTCAAAGGCTTTTCTATCCTGACAAGCTTCAAAGTTTGGTAGACACACTGACTCCTTTTTCTTCATTGGAAATTGTAAATAAAGATACTGACACAAAAACATCAATACAAAACCAAATATTAGTGACTTCACTCTAAAATGTTGTGTTGGCATTCAGAACCCCACATCCCCACATTTTCTTAGTGTCAACATTTTTTGATGTTCAGTGCCGTCATTTTTTAAAATGAGCTATTCTTACTATCTGTGTGGCATTCATGGGATGGCTATGGTTGGGGAAAGATAGTGATTATGGCAACTAAAATGTGGTTAACATATGCTTAAAGGTTAGACAACTTCAATTCTTGAGGTTTGGGAAAGATCATGTCAGATATGTCAGATGTTACGGTAAGGGTTGGAGTAGTGATTCTCAGTGGCTCCCCCCAACCAAGGCAATTGACTTTGGAATAGGGACCTAAGGCACAGGTTGGCTTATGTCACTCAAGAGTCCACACACCATGTGGACCCCCATTCAGCCTCAACGTGGCAGAGGAGTAGAGAAGTGTGATGAGTGAGTGATGGAACAAGGAGAATCCAGGAAACAATGAGGCATCCCAGGCAGACCTGGATGGGATTGGATGGTTGGGGTTAAGGCAGACCAGTGGATGAGGGATTAAAAGTCCGGGCCAGAGAGAGTGTCAGAGATCCAAATGTGCAGAAGATATTTCAAGAGGAAAATGATTGAGATTAGAATGAATTGTTGGCTCAGTGGATAGAATTTAAAATGGTCCAAAGTTGGATTAGGCATTGAGAGGAAGATGGTAAATCAAAGGTAAAATGTTGGTTTGATGTTAGGGTCACAAACTAAAGGTCCATGTACAGTGGCGGTATCCAGGATGAAACATTATTCGTGGGGTTACAGGACTGGTGAAACCCTGTAGACAAAATCAAGCAGTGGAAGTCCTGTGCTTGATTTAAAATAGCATTGTCAAGTCACCTATGTACATAAAGAGGAATTTAGTCCTTAAAAACCATTCACCTGTGTGAAGGTACTGGCTCGTGATTGTCACATGTCACTGAAGAGAGAAGAGAAGCATGAATTCATATCCACAGATTCATCAACACCACACTCTGAATCTCTGACAGTTTGTGAAATAATTTCAATATTACAAGAGAAGAAAAGTCAGATCATTGAGGCACCAGCACAACGATGTTTTTGACTGATGGGTCTGTTCATGTTACCTTTGTGTTGGTTCTTATACCGATGTGCTGCATTGTAAAAATGTCTTGTATATGCTGTGTTCTAAGTGCAATATCATATATTGAGCAATGTAGATTGTGTGAGACTTCTATTTTCTTACTTATTCATGGTTAAAGTGTCTTTTTAACTCCTGTTTAAGATCTTAGAATATAAAGCACTTGTATAATGGGTGGTGTGTTTGCTCCCACTCAGCTGGTTTCATTTGCATGTTTAAGGTCAATCTCCAATGTTTTCTATCTCCATTGTGAAATGCCATTCAGTAAAGTACATTCTTCAGTGTTTCTCCCTGATGACTATACAGTCTATCTGACGTAGTGACATTATGATGCTTGTGGATTTGCAGCTTGACTGAGGGAACATGAAGTAGTACAACAAATCATTTAAGTGCTTTAGATAACAATGCAAAGGATTAAAGACAGATTGATCACTTCATAAATGTGGATCTAGTTTTTGTTTTTACCAGTCATCACGGAGTGAAGTTTATATCTATTGTCCAGTGCTTAAAGTTTTGAAAACTGAATATATCTGTGTATTGCAAAAGAAAAAACTTAGGCTTTCATTCACATCTCACTGTGTTCCTCATCAGATTGAGCTGGTCACAGCTCCTCTAGAAAGTGGACCTTGAGTTAGGATTTTTTGAATTTTATTTTATTCTGGTGAAACTACTGTTTCCAAATTCAGAATAAACTTGCACACATTTAAAATGTGTGCATGTTCATGTATTGTGGAATATGGAGTAGATGTGTTGGTTTTGTAACTCATTTTCAGTACTTATTGAACATTTTAGTGAAAAAGCAATACTGGACAAATGATTTTATTTCTTCATTATAGAGCATTTTTACATGTTTACAATGTCATGGGATATTTATACGTGAATACTGACATTTTGGGAAATATACTTGTTTGTTATTTTGACTATTTAAGCTGTTTGACTAGCTGCTGCAGAAGTGAAAAATATAGTCAGTGCACTTATTAGGAACACCTGTACACCTGCTTATTCTTGCAGTTATCCAAACAGCCAAATCATGAGGCAGCAGTGCAACATATGCAGGTACAGGAGAGGAGCTTAAGTAAACATTCACATCAAACATCAGAGCCTTTGAATTCACCAACCACATAATATTTTAAGGTCTTATTTTACATAATGAAAATCATTTCTTCTAGTGCAACTAAAATCTCAGCAGAGAACAGTAGAGATTATGGTGCTCATGCTCTTGTCAGTTAAGTTAATAATGTCATAAACCAGCTCCTTGGCCATGACAAATTAGTGAATGGACACAACTGATGACGACTGATCTTAATATTTATCATAATAAAATGAATAAATATGGAAAATACATACAAATATGGAGTGTGTCAGTCACTAATATCAGTGACTAAGATCAATGAGTAGGAGTTGAAGGATGTTGTGAAGCAGAATGAAAACAAAAGCCAAACAAAGAAAATGTGCTGATGATGGCAGGGATGAGTCCAGGTGAGAGACAGAGAGGGAAGAGTGATGTAACTTGTGCCCTCCTGCCCTGGGAGTGGGCAGCCCAGGTGCTCCAAATCTGGCTCCTGTGATCACCACCGTCTGTTACCTTTGAAGACACAAAAGCACAGTATCTGTCCACAACAACTACATTTAGGCAGAGACCATCACAATAAACAGCAGTCACATTTCTTATACATAAACAAAATATACAGCCACATGATTTTAATTTAATTTAATTATGTTCTCATATTTTAATTTCCTGTTTCTGGCAGAAGTAATATGTGCTGTCGTGGTCTAGCAGGTTCTGTCACAGAGCAACAATGTCGCTCACCTAAGTAGAGAGAGAATACAACAACACATGAGAATACAAAAACATGTGCAAGTGTGAACAAGTAAAGACAAAACCTGCTAAATAAGTCCACTGGTGACTAAAGCTATTACATCTGTGAAAAGTTACACATTTCTTCTAATGCTCTCCACAATGATTTCACATTCATTCGGCTTAGGTGGTGCCCAAAACGGTTTGTGTGCTGCGCCTAAACCTTATAATGGTTGGGAAAACCCTGCCATCTGCAGTTTGTAAAAAAATGTTACAGGTTCCATTACTGGAGGCCTGCCAAACTAATAACACAATATGTGTTATGTATATGTAAACAATTATGATATTTCAGGACCACTCCTCACCATTGCTGCTGTTCTCTAATGCAGCCACCAAGTTTATAGACTCTAGAAAGACCAATTAGTGTGTCAACCATCAATTAAATAATCTACATAACTTTTCAGTATAAATGTTATTCAATATATCATATATGTTGAAATGACTATATTATTAAATGCAAACTGCGCAAACTGAAAAGCAAACGCACCTCCTTGCACAGTCTGTGCTTCTGAGGGGAGAAAAAGTTGCTGTGTTCCTCTATATCTGTTCATCATTTAGTGTTGATGAACACTGACGCATTGAGCTGTAGAAATCAACCATCCAAAGTGGGAACTAGCTTAACCATGTTTTTGGAGGAGGGGTCTGGTCTGACCGCAGTAGATAAAATTGGAGAGACAGTTAACAACACACATAACTCCATCATCTAGATCAGGTCTGCAGATTATTAATAGAATTCATATTATTAATGTTATTGATTTGCTTACATCGTCATCACTTTGTCTCTGTGCCTGGACTGAGCGCTGTTGCTCTCTCTCTCTCTTTGTCTGGTCTATCTCTGCCTGTATGGACAACCTTACCCATTAGCGTCACTTTTTATATTTAGATGACATTGCTTTTCAAATATTGACTATCTTTACAAGTTGTGATATATAATCTCTCTTCTTCTTTCTTCTTTTTTCCATATTACTGAAATGGCACAATGGGCAGTGTCAGTAACTGTTCACAGGTCAAAGGTCACCCAGTTGAGTGCACATCTTTAAATTAGAACAAAACTCCAGTATGGCCTTTCCCAACAACCAAAGCGCACAACAGTGGAGGAGCAGAGAGTGTCTATTTGATGTGGAGCCCAGACAACAAATATTCTGGAGGTGGATTTAACAATCCAAAAGATTGCAAGAATATTAAAGGAGAGTGGTCATTATACTTTTCACAAATTGTACTGTAATTATATGGCAATGTTTTACTTAAACTTGAAAATGGTCAGAGTATGTAATTAATCAACAATAAATAAATTTAGGACCTACTGTTTTTATTGAGGAAAAAGCTAATTAACTGAATGTAATCTTTAATGGTCATATTTTCTTACCTCCATCAGCATATTAGTGAGTAAGGCCTCCAGTTCTTCAATGACCATTATAGAAGCATAAACATTTACTCTATTATCAAACATGAATTTATGACAGACACCAAGTTGACATGGGTTAATGTTGTGCCCCGCCAGAATTCAACTTCCTCTTGTGTTTAGTGGGGCGGGCATAGGCAGGTAAGCTAGGTTTTTGCGGTTGACCAGCTTGAATTTGAAAAGTTGTGGGCCAAAGGGGAAATAAAATTTGATAACACTATCTATTGTAGCATTATCTTTCACAACATAGAGCATTGAGTCTAAGACTTAATTTCCGTAATACATTATGCAGTATTTAGGAAAAATTTAAGATTAAAGACATTAAAGACATCAACCACCCAAAA